TGTAATCCTAGATAGAGACGGCCTGAAAGTATGTTCCTTCTAAATATGAGACAATGGTAAAAAAAATACAAGAAAATCTGTTAGCACAGGTGACTTGACCCTGTGATTTCTAACACTGGATCATCCAAAGCATGTTCCTTCCAAAAATGAAAAACATCACCAATAATAAAGGCACTATAAACAAATGTATAGAATTCTATTTTTGGCCCCACTAGCACCTAATTCAATCCCAAAACAAGATTGCATTTGAGAAAAATGCTATGCCACCGTATTGATACCTAAGCTCTAGGCCTTTTGGGTCTTTACAAGAAGGTATTTCAAGTTTTTGAAGCCTTGTACCTTCAGACAATAAGATTTTTTGATTTTTTACTATATGTATATATTGAAAATCAATGACCCCCGGGGCGTGGGCAATTTTGACCCCAGGGCTATAATTTGAACAATCTTGCTAGAGGTTCACTACACAATGTTTCATGCAAAATATCTAACCTCTAGCATTTGTCAATTGCTAGAAGAAATTTTTTTAAAGTTTTGACTATAAGTTTTTACTATATACATAGAAGGAAAACCAATGACCCCCGGGGCGGGGCCGATTTTGACCCCAGGGCTATAATTTGAACAATCTGGGTAGAGGTCTACCACACAATGCCTTATGCAAAATATCTAAGCTCTAGGCCTTTTGGGTCTTTACTAGAAGGTATTTAAAGTTTTTACTATATGTACATATAGTGAAAATCAATGACACCCTGGGCGGGGCTGATTTGACCCTAGGGCTATAATTTGAACAATCTTGGTAAGGGTCTACCAGACAATGCCTTATGCAAAATATCTAAGCTCTAGGCCTTTTGGGTCTTTACAAGAAGGTATTTTAAGTTTTTACTATATGTACATATAGTGAAAATCAATGACCCCTGGGGCGGGGCCGATTTTGACCCCAGGGCTATAATTTGAACAATCTTGGTAGAGGTCTACCAGACAATGCCTAATGCAAAATATCTAAGCTCTAGGCCTTTTGGGTCTTTACAAGAAGATTTTTTAAATCTATTCTTATAATTCCTTTTGGTTGCCATGGAAACCAGATTTCTGCATGGAATGAAATTCTTTGAACAACTTTGGAAGCCCTTCACCCAAGGATCAATCCTGCCAAGTTTGGTCTAAATTGGACTAGTGGTTTTTCACAAGAAGATTTTTTAAGTTCACTATATAATCTATATAACACACAAACAAACAAACACACACACACACAGGTGAATCGCTATATGCCACCGCATCGCAGATGCTGCGGTGGCATAAAAAAGACCATACAAATTATCTTCCTAGTAAATATGAAAGACATCTGTCCATAAATGAAGGCTGTATCGGCAAAAGTGTAAAAATCTATTTTAAGCACCAATGACCTTGACACATTACAGGTATTCATCTGCCAAATATGAAATATATCATTAATAATAAGTTGTTAGGGGAAAGTTAAGATGAATGTACTCTCCTGCGCATCGGTCGAAAGCAACTTGCTGAAATAGGTTAACTATACCATGCCCTATTTTCAAAGTGATAAAAGGGAAATTGGAAAAATGGTTTGCACAGCTATATAACTTAGCAATATCATGTTTTTAAATTGAAAGAGACTTTTACATAGGGATAAGAAACTCTAGAAGGAGAATTTCTTTTCCAGATCCACAATCCCTTGCATGAGATACATTGACCCTTGGAGTTGAACTATTCCGCCATCTTGTTTAACGTAACCAAATGTGTTTCATTTTCACCCATTATAGAGAATTATTAACATCTTAAATTTTCTTGACCGTAAAGCTTTCATTTACATTTTGCAGTTTTTTTATCACTTCTCCTGATAATGTTAACAAATTTTAGATTATATCGCAGGAAACATATCTTGTCTAAAACATGGGCTCGGACAATTGCACGAAAATGTTATGTTGCATGAAAGATAATCGATGATGACATGTATAACAAGAGCACCGCTAGGCGGAGCATTACCGGTATATGCTCAAAAGTGTTTTTTTTATAGTAAGGATGAAGCATTTGTAAGACATTACATAAATTAAATAAAGTATTACCTCCTTCAAATAGCAATCCTTCTATAAAGTTTGAATATTGTGGGCCAAATGGAACTTAAGTTATGCTCTGGAAACTATTTTCAGTTTTGAGGTTATAGCGCCCTTGAACTTTGACCTTGTGACCCCAAAATCAATAGGGGTATTCTACCCAATATGGACAATCATCCTATGAAGTTTGAACACTATGGGCCAAAAAGAAATTAAGTTATGTTCTGGAAACTGTTTTCAGTTTTAAAGAAATAGTGACCTTGACCTTTGACCTTGTGACACCAAATTAAATAGGGGTCTTCTACCCAATATAGACCATCATCCTATGAAGTTTGAATATTAAGGACAAATAGACCTTAAGTTATGCTCTGGAAACTGTTTTCAGTTTAAAGTGATAGTGACCTTGACCTTGTGACCCCAAAATCAATAGTGGTCTTCTACCAATGTTGGACAATCATCCTATGAAGTTTGAACACTGTGGGCCAAATGGAACTTAAGTTATGTTCCGGAAACTGTTTTCAGTTTTAAGGTAATAGTGACCTGGACCTATGACCCTAATCAATAGGGGTCTTCTACCCAATATGGACAATCATCCTCTGAAGTTGTGTTACTATTATGAACCCATTGGTACAGATAGAACTTAAATCCGGTTTAGGTTTAGGTTAACCTTGTACAGAAAGACGGATGTTTCAATTATAATATGCCTGGGACATTTTGAATACCTTCACCAAGAAAAAGTAAATATTAACCAGAGTATAATGTTTGTAACTTTCTTCTGTTGTTTTTAATTGTTTCTTTCATTGTCAATTCATTCTATAGACAAAGGAAATACATGTGCCTTCATGAATCTTCAAGTATAAATTTAATCAATTTACACACATCAGTCTAACATTTCAAACATAAAAAAAAATCTAACATTAATTTTCTATAACAAAGTAATTGCTTAAAATGTTAGGACACTCATTTCTATTGTATATTTTAGTTCGCTATGATTTGTAACATAAATGGCTGGAATCATATAATTAATTCTCGACGACAAAGTTCAAGAAATTGCTTAAAAACTAAGTAAAAACATCCTTTTAAACTAATAATTATAGTTACTTAACATTTTACGTTTAAACTCAAAACGTTAGTTATTATACGCTTAAACATTACAAAAATCATGAAAACACAACAAACTTATGTGACATACAAGCAAATAGTGGGATACGATACTATCAAAAGTTATTGTGCATACACTCATGATTTGAATAAGTTGACAAGAATAACAAAGACATAAGTGTAATGTAGAATAAAATGCTCAAAAAATATCGAGAGCTGATTTCTATTCCTATCTTGAAAAATGTACAAACTCAAGTACACTCATGTACACAGTTTTACAATTGTCACTTAAATATTTTGATAATCTCACTGTTTTGAATTTAAGCCCCTTACGTTGTTCCAGTGAAATACCAGCGTGCACAGTACTGGGAACCAACTTAATGACGTGACGTCGTAAATGATGTCACGTTGTATTATTATTTAGATTGCTTTTCATTCAGTATTAGGTTTAATGTCTTTTAAAAACGTTTCTTTGCATATAAAAAAAAGAAACTCACTCGGTGAAATATATTCCGATCTTACACTGAACTAAACAAATATCCTCTATATCATTATAACTTTTGGAAGGATTATCCTTAAACCTGGGTGTCATCTTTATTGAATGACGCAGTTTCTCTGTGTTACTTAATATTTCAAAGTGTTACTATGACTTTTACATCGTTACATAATGGTTTCTAGAGCATGTAAGATGTTTTTCTACCTAACGAAAGTAGCCTTAAAGGTATAAACATGTAAATAAAGTAGTATTTTTTGACTTCCATAAAAAATAATTGAACGTTGTTACAATTCTATTTGCCAATATCTTAATAAAGAAATATATTTCGGGTAATACAAGGAGGAAACATGCGTATATATTGGGAGGGAACATATTAACAAATTCATACACTGTAGTCTTCCTTTGTTATAAATAAACTTATAAAGATTTTTGAAAGTCAATGTGCCATTGACCTTGAACCGAGTAGCAAAGACCTCATCATCAGTAATATTGGCTCAAAAGATACAGACTGGGCATGTTAGGGCTAACAGACGACAAACAAACAATATATATGAACAGCAAATGTTTACGGGCACATAAAATGTCTCCATTATATCAAAACTTTGTAACAAATGTCTCACAATGTCAATTATACATAAAGTTTATAACAAAATGTAAAGATAACACTCAAGTCTCTGATGTTTTTTGTACAAATTCATTTCGGTAAGAACAACAGATCACACGTTAAAAAGATGCACTAAATAATTAAAAAAATATTTAAAGTATTCAAACAAACAATCAGTAAAAATCATAGTGATGTTACACAAAAAAGTATTCTTCCATAACAACATTGGCAGCAGTAAATTTTACAGATACAAAAACGTGTAACTGAAAACAGAAGACGCACTTCACTCTACATCGATAATGTGGCATCAGACTGTAAATTGTTAAAAGATCGTCACATTAAAATAATTTGTAAAAGAGACAGGAAAAGTAATTAAAAGTGACAAACCACTAAACTATTTTTAAAAAAGAAAAAAAAAGAAAACAATTTAATATTTCCAAATATTAAACCTTTTTTTTTACTTACAAAACAAATTGCTTAGATTTTTATGCCATAAATTGATGTAACTTGTATTTTAATATCCAAATCGCTTACACATGAGTGTATTGTACATTGAAAAACTTGCTCAAAATGACATTTATCTTTGTGTAACTGAAAGTACCAAGATGTTTTCATGTAGTAAGATTATTAGTTACCTAAACCATATGGGTTATTTTATTATTTTCAACATCATATGGGTTTTGCCAGTCGCCTTATATCTAGAATGAAGTGGTTTAAATATTATAAGGTTAACATTAGTGCTTAATAAGGGGATTTCTATGTATATAATAACTTCTATATGTTTATATCAAGAAACATATAGGTAACAATGATATTGAAAACTTAAAGACAAACATTACATCCTGTTTCACAGATTCATTCAAAGACTTCAATGTTTTACAGATTCATTCATAGATTTCAATGTTTCACGAATTCATTCATAGATTTCAATGTTTCATGAATTCATTCAGTTTCACGAATTCATTCATAGATTTCAATGTTTCACAGATTCATTCATAGATTTCAATGTTTCACGGATTCATTCATAGACTTCAATGTTTCACGAATTCATTCAGTTTCACGAATTCATTCATAGATTTCAATGTTTCACAGATTCATTCATAGATTTCAATGTTTCACGGATTCATTCATAGACTTCAATGTTTCACGAATTCATTCATAGATTTCAATGTTTCATGAATTCATTCAGTTTCACGAATTCATTCATAGATTTCAATGTTTCAGGGATTCATTCAAAGACTTCAATTCACAATTACTTTTCAATAGTTTTTCTCATTCAATCGTCTTTGACAGAGCTTCTCTATGTCCCTTCTTTCTAATGAAAGGTAACCGAAAGTGGAAACCTTTGTACCCATGCCTCTATGACCTGTTCCAAGGTTGTGCATTCATCGTCTGCTTGTTGATCATTCCGGAACGTGTCTTTTCGTATTTTGACTTTGTGCGTTTTTCTATCAACTGAAAGCAAATCTGAAAAGCAAATGCCATACTGAAATCTAAATTACAATCTCCAAAGAAGTAGAAATTATCTTAATATAAGTTAATTTATTTTGCAAATGTGTAAGGAATGGTTTCAGGTGCATGTAAAAAATATTTAAGTTAACAAACACAATCTCATTGTTATTTTGAAAAGAGGACAAAAAACTTGAACCACAGTAAATTTTCTGATTACCATAACTTCAAAGCAATGTTGGTAGATATAACCTCTTTCAGAAGTTTAATATTACAAGTTTTTATCTATGATAGTAGATAATAATATTTGCTTTATATTTTCAAAGGCTTTCTAAATAAATGTTTCTTTATTTCAATAGATTTATAAATAATTACCTTTAAAAGCCAAAAGAATCTTTTGTTTGACCTCGTCAATGTTTTTCAGATATCCAAGAGATAGAGGGATAGTTATACCACCATCTTCCGAAGGTTCCTTATGAAAAGTAAATTCTATTTCTACTACCTCATCTGTAAAGAAAGCAATGTTATCCCAAATACTTTCCAATTTCCAGTCTGGCTGAGGTGCCTTTAGTTCTAAATGTTTGTTAACATAATCATATAAGCTACAAATAGAGACATATTCTGTTCTCGAGCTCCAATAGGAATAACAATGCTCGCAGTCCTTGGAACATTCTCTCTCTTCTGATCTAGCTTTCAATGCTTGAATGACATACTTTGTAAACAAGCTGCCTTCTTCGTTTAGAACCGCTTTTTTATTCTTGCTACATGCGTTTATCTGAACGAATTTCCTATTTGTCAATGTAACCTTTGGAGGAAAACAGCGATCAAGGAAAAGAATTAATCGGTCAATTTTGTGCAATTTGTGTAGCTCCTTTTGAAACTCAACCAATGATATATATTCTGATTTTTTCCCAAGTTCAAACATACTTCCATCGGCAGAGCTACCACCGTGACACGAGAAGTATATCAATAATGTATCAATCTCCTTATCTTCACTGAAATTCTTGATATGCTCTTTAATTTTCAACCATGTTTGTGATTCACCAGTTTCTGTTTTCATTTTTGTATCACCTGGTACGACTGTCTTGACTTTACACTTACTAGAGTTAAAGAACAAAGTAATACATTTATTTCATATGACAAAACAAGAACCAAAGAATAGGGAAGCCATACTAAACATTTTCTCACAGGAAGAATATTATAGTACTCCTTTGATACATAATTTTCTTGTAACAAATAATACACAAATTTAATATTTGACCTTGACAATCAAGGTTACTCAAAAATCAAGGTCACATCTATAATATAAGTTTTGTCATTAGTGCTATTTTGTCAAAGAATGAATCAAATCCCTGCATAAAAGTTATGACAGTTTAAGCAAATTTCAATAACCTCATCTTGACGGTCAAGTTCTTTTCGGTTGGGTTTTAAATCGCACAAAACAATGTAGGTCTTATGTCGACTTTCGAGCTTTACTGATGGTGGAAGAACAGGTGCTGTTTTGTGCATTATTTAAATCATAAACGGGCACCTGACCAGAACCATCTACGTTCCCTAAGCTAACTGGAAAGCTTCATCACATGAAAGAAACCAAAGTCCTTGTCAAGATTCAAACAAACAGCAGTTAAGAGCAAGTCTACTATCTTAACCACTCGACTTGTCATGTGTTCTTTTGGTCAATTTTGAATAAATAAATAATGACGGCCATAATATTGCTCACTTGAATATAAATTCTCTTAATGACAAGGAACAAGTAATAATGTAAAATGCAAATGAAAAGCAGATAGAAAATCTAAATCTGAAACTGATATATTAAAGTTCATATTTGTATCTAAAATAGAGAACATTTAAAAACATTATTGGTTGCTATTGTTAAGGGAATACAAAAGTTTCTAAATTCTAAAGAAGCCAACGTTTAATGCAAAAAAATCAAGGATTTCCTTTGAAGTCAGTGGCTGCTATGAAATTCAATGGTAAATACACTTGTTGCTATGGAAAGTTAAGGTTTGCTTTGGAAGACACTGGATGCTATGAAAACTTTCAGATTGCTAATTCAACAGCTGCTATAAAAGGTTAATGGTTGCTTTGGGAGTCACTAATTGCTATTGGAAGTCAATGTTTGCTACATAGGTCAATGGTTGCTGTAGAAACTAAGTGGTTCCTATTGTCGCGAGGATCGCGAAATTATATGACATGCTTTCCAAAAATGTGTAATTTTCTCCGGTGACCTCATAATTTTGTTTTACTTAATGTTATGCTCCGGCATAACCTTTACACATTATTGTAGATATGTTCTCCGGCGGAGTACTTTGTTATAATCCGGCGGAGTATTTTGTTATAAATCATGTTTCTTGACTTTCTCGTGATATTTGTGTTTTGGCGGGAATTATTTCATTGGTATATAAGTCAGATTTCAGTGTCACGAGACAGAGCTTCTCAGGATTTCAAGTTCTTATGGATAATGTTAACGTTTAGGTTCAAAATTCATATATATTGTGTTCTTTCGGCTTTAAAATTATACAGTGTTAGAAAAATAAAAGTTTGGAAATTATACTTCAGTGTTTGTGCTCTCTATTAAAGTCTTTCTTGTGATTGGAGTAAAAAAGTGTAATTAAAGTATACTCCACCACACCTATGGAAAGTCCATGAATGCTATGGAAAGTACCTGAATGCTATTGAAAGTTCTGGTTGCTAAAGAAGTCTTTTACTAGTAACTATGGAAAGTCAATGGCTGCTATATAAGTCACTGGTTACTGTTGGAAGTCCCCAGTTGCAATAGGAGTCTATGAATGTTATGGAAAGTCACTGGTTGCTATGGAAGACAATGGGGTAACTATAGAAAGTCACTGGTTTCTATGTAGGTCACTGCTTTTTATGGGACATCACTGGTTGCTTTGGAAGTAAATGGTTGCTACGGAAGGACACTGGTTGTTATGCAAGTCAATGGTTGTTGTCAAAAGTCACTGGTTGATATAGAAAGTCAGTGGTTGTTCTGGAAGTTTATGGTTTCTATGGAAATTCACTGGTTGCTATCGACGTCTATGGTTGCTATGAAAAGTCATTGGTTGCTTTGAAAAGTCAGGAGTACTTATTGAAAGTCACTGGTTGCTAAAGAAGTCTATGGTTGTTATGGAATGTCAATGGTTTCTATGTAAGACACTGGTTGCTGGTTCTATGACCCAGGGGGGCAGAGCCAATTTTGACTCGAGGGCTATAATTTGAATTACTTTGAAGATGTCTACCAGACAACATTTCATGCTAAATATCTAAGATTTAGCCCATGCTGTTTTCAAGAAGACGATTTTTTAAGTATTTACTTTATAGAAAAAGCGATGCTCCTTGCATATTTGTAGAAGTTCACAGGACAATGTTTCATACCAAATATTTTAGCTAAGGGCTCTATAGTATGAAAGAAGATTTGTTTGCTTTTATAATAAACAAATAATGAAAATCATTGACCGCCTGAAGCAGGGCCAATTTAGACCCAAGTGCTATAATATGAACAAATTTAGTAGAGGTTTTATAAAGGTTTAACTCTCGTAGTTTAACATCTTTAAAGAGATTAAAAAACTATATCACTGTATATAGATATGAGGAAAACCTATGATTCCCTGAGCTGGGCTATTTTTGACCTATGGACTTTAATTTGAACAATTCTTGACAAAGCCCAACAGACAATGTTTCATTCCAATAATCTAAGGTAAAGCTTCTATAGTAAAATAGGAGAAGACTTTTTTGTTTTAACTTTATACAAAAATGAACAATAAATGACATCCCTATGTAAACATTTTTTGTAGAGGCCCACTAGACAATTTTTCATACCAAATACCTAAACTTAAGCCTATATTGTATAAAAGAAGGAGTTTCTTTATAAAGTTTTTACTATATACATATATGTACATATAAGGAAATCAATGTTCTCCCGGGATGAGGCCAATTTTGATCCAAGGGCTATGATTTGAGCTAAAAATCTTTTGACAGTTTAAGTAATTTTTAATAATTTTACCTTAACCGTCAAGGTCAATTAAAGGTCAAGCTTAACTTAGAAACTATAATTGTGTACATAGGATACGAGTGCCCCCAAACTACAATGTTTTGTTAATCTTATGACTCTAGGTCAAATACTGTTTTGCTTCATGTACGACAAATTGAAAACAAAATATCTTTACGAAGTAAAGGGCAAGAACTTTACAAATACTGAATCAATTCACAAGCGAGTCCCAAGGTGCGTAAGTACACATGCTGACTAGCATTCTTGTAAACTTTCAGGCCTACAGGTCAAATACTTTTTGAGCTATGCACGAACAAGTTGAAAGTTGCAAATTTATACTAAGTCAAGGCCAATAGCTCTAACAAAACTGAAAAAAATCAACATGCCAAATCATATAGGTGCATAGCTTCACAGTGATGTTGATCATTATTCCTGGTTGATTCTAACTGAAGCACTCAAGGAACAAATAACACAACATAATAAAACAGTTTTTACTAAGTCAAGCGCAATAAATCTACAAAAACTGGATAAATTCACAAGATAAACCTAAGGTTCACATCTACACGTGCTGATCAACACTCCTGTAAAGTTTTATGACCCAAGGTTGAGCTACGTGCGACACAAGTAGAAAATTGCAAATTTTTACTAAGTCAAAGGCAATTACTTTGAAAAAAAAAAAAAAAACAATCCTCAAGCGAAACTCCAGGTGCACAACTGCACATACTCAACATTCCTGTAAAGTTTCATGAGTGTAGGTAAAATAATTTTGAGTTACGTGTGACCATGTTTAAAATTGTAAATTTTTAATAAGTCAAGGGCAATAACTCAAAAATACTAAAAATATCCACACGAAAATACCTATGCTGTTCAACATTCCTGTAAGGTTTCATGACCGTTAATCAAATATTTTTTGATCTACGTGCAACACAAGTTGAAAATTTTTACTTGGTCAAAGGCAATAACTCTGACATAACAGAATAAATCTACAAGCGAAACCCCAGGTGCATATCTTTACATGCTCAACATTCCTGTAAAGTTTCATGACTCAAGGTCAAATACTTTTTGAGTTACATGCGACACAAAGTGACAATGGTATTTTTACTAAGTCAAGGGAAATAACTCTAACACAACAGAATAAATCCAGAAGCGAGACCCAGGTGCACAACTTCACATGCTGAGCAACATTCCTGTAAGGGTTCATGACTCTATGTCAAACACTTTTTGAGTTACATGCGACACAAGTTGAAAATTGCATATATTTAATAAGTCAAGGACAATAACTCTTAAATACTGAATAAATCCATATAAAAATCTGCACATGCTGATCAACATTCCTGTAAAGTGTCATGGCTTTATGTTAAATACTAAATACCTTTGAGGTACATATGACACAAAATGAGAACGAATGGACTGAAGGATGGAAAGATGGACAAGACTTAATTTAAATGCCCCACTCCCAAAAAATGGGGGCACAAAAATCAACATGTCAATTGTTTTATATGTGTTCTTTTGTCCAAGTATGAATCATGTATGTTAGTAAAAACAGAGTTATGTCAGTTTAAGTGAATTATAATAATTTCATCTAGATGTTCAAGATCAATTAAAAGGTCAAATTCATACCAGAATAATTCAAAATGTCTGTTTTGTCATTTGGTTCTTTGGTTGAATTATGAATCAAACTTGTAATTAGATAACAATGTCATGGAAATGATGACAAAATTTCAATAATTTGACAATTGCAGTCTATGTCCAATTACGGTCAATGACATATTATATTATTCAACATACTGGTTTTGTCATCGTCAAAATGGTTCATTTGTCCAAGAAAAAATAAAATCTATAAGGTCGAAGACAATGATGAGTGAGAGTCACTAAAACTATAAATTTGGTCTATATAAAAGATTGTTGTGTCTAAGTATGAAGACTTACCATTTTAGCCAATTATAGTAAAAAGCAATCAAAATTCAAACATTTCATTAAGTTGAATGTCATTTATAAGGCAAGGCCAAGTTCAGTCTCTCTGGTCTACTAGAAGGTCTTGTTAAAAAGGTTGTTGTGTCCAAATAGAAGAAATACAACAAACAAACAATTATCATAGTTTGGCAAGTGATCCATAAGTCCCCTACAGGTTAGAACCCAGGCAACATTCTGAAGGGCCACTGAATTATGCCATATAATGAATGACATGAATGAACAAAAATCTTTCGAGTTCTTTGTTTGTCTCTACCTTAGTAATGTGTTCAGTTTCTCTGCCTAGTATTTAAATTATGTTTATACAAGAGATACCCGAATATCCAATTTTCTCAGGATGAATAAGTAATGTTTCAACTTTTCTCTATTTTAAGTAAATTTGTTGGTAAAGGTCTTTAAAAATGACTTCAGGAACAAGGTTTTTAGGGGCTGACAGGCAGACAAAATGACAGACACTCTGAGAGTTAATCTTTATGGACACTAAGATTTATAAACCTTGTCAGATTATTATGATGTTGGAGTTTGAAGTAAATGCTATAAGATATGAGTCTGAATAAAAAAAATCGTTTCTAGAAAAAATCTTCAAAAGTTCAAAGAGGAAATAATTCTGGAAATAGTCAAGCTAGATAATTGAACCTTCTCCCAAATGATTTGAGTGATAATAAGACACATATATATGAAGTTTATAATAGATACATTAAGAAAAAGAGAAGTTATAAAAGAAAACATTATTTTTTCATGAAAATTCTAAGTTCAAGGGGAGGGGGGTAATTCAGAAAATGTTTGTGCTAGAGTTGTAACCCTTGTCACATATGATGTGGTTGATAATGAGACACATAAATTTGGTGTTTGAAGTAAATACATTTAGAAATAAAGAACTTCTAGTGAAAGAGGGTAAAAACTTGCATCAGAATGAATTCTTGACAAGCGCCGAAGCTTGGTGAGTAGTGGTCAGCCCTATAGTGAAGATTAAAATAATGTGTATTATCTTCAAACTGCCATATATCCATATTTTAAGTTTCATAATACTTTTTGATTTATCAAAAATATTGTCATATTAGGATCCAGTTTATGTCTTAAATTAGCCATATTTTCAGTCTATTTGTTGCCATAGCAACCAAAGTTTTCAACATAGGAAGAAAAAAAAAGAAGACGTGCATAATCATCAGACTGCGGTCTATCCAGATATCAAGTTTCATACAAATATTTTCTGTACCTTTTGCGGGATCCAGTTTTGTGGACGGACAGACTGATGAACTGTAAGATGGACGGACGGACATGCTCAAAATTTGGTATTTAAGTGGCTACTCTTTTGTTCTCTCTATTGTTCTTTTCGCCACGTAAGATAAATGGTAGCCTCATAAGAGCTTACTGAATGAATATCATCAAATGAAATTTAATGTTACCTATTGTAACCATAGCTAATATCTTTACCTTTGAACATTCAGACAGACAGACGGAGGTTAAGCCTAAAGTTGTTTTCAACAAAGGAAGACTAGAAAAAGACGTGCATAATCTCCAGACTGCCATCTATCCATATATCAAGTTTCACAAAAAAAAATTCAGTACTTTTTGCGTTATCGCGGAATCCAGTTTTGTGGACAGACAGACGAACAGACAGATGGACAGAGTGTAAACCTATAGTCCCCTCCGGTTAATCCGGTAATGGACAATAAGATGTCTTTTATATCTTGTCTGAATATTGTATATCATAGAAATTCATTTGGTGCTGTAATAACAAGAACTGGCATGGCACAGGAGACAGCATGCTCTATTCATAAAAATTCTGGATGAAATTCAGTAAAACAAAACTATGAAAAAAATAAATTATAATATAGAAATATATTTGTGCTCAAATGTTCAATACTTCTGCATTCTATTATATACATGTGACCATAATAATAAAAGGTAAAAAAACATTTAAATGCTCTATTGGATATGACAACATTTTGAAATTTGAAATCAGTCACTCATAAAAAAGATAAGAGCAAAAAGAATATAAAGTTTTTAAAGTAAAATTATAAATTCAAAGAGCAAATAACTCTTGAAATAAAGATGCTAGAGTAATGAACCTTGTCATGCATAATGTGAGTACAATTATCATATGTCTAGAGTAGATACAATTTATAACATATTAATTCACACAGAAAATACTTTAAACAACTAGGGCCATGATGTCCCTAAATCGCTCAAACGAAACAACTGTTTTTCAGTGACAATATATCGCCTCCGTGGTCGAGGGGTTAGAGTCGATGACTTCTAATCCAGTTACCTCTCTGGCGTGGATTCAATCCCCAGGAGATGCTTTGGTAGTTTAGCGCGGAGGAAGGTAGTCTAGTACTGGTGTAACTATCAAGGAACGATGGTTAGGAAACTACCCGCCTATATGACTGAAATACTGTTGGGAAAAGGCGTAAAATGAAACAAACAAACAAAATCAGTGACAATAGAAATATTTTTTCAAATAAACTTGCAGAAAGACAAGTCCAGCTCAACTTCAACTTGCATCTCTAGTTATAAAGTTTCCTGACACTGATTATTTTTTTTCTTTATAGTAAAAGATGATAGGAAACTTTCACAAATGTCCAAAATTTATTGTTATTGTTCATCTGGTAAGTAAAGCATATCAACTCCGGGTACTAGACATTTTCCATTTTCAGATCAAGCAGCTCCTAAATGGGGTAAATAAAATTAATCTGAGCAAACTTGACAAAAGACCCTTCAAGAATGCTACACATCAAGTTTGCTGATCACCCATCCATTAATTAATGATATAATTTGCCTATGACTGTCTTTCAGAATTGCGATCTTTCTTTTTCTTTTTTTTCTTACTTATTTAAAAAAATTAAGTTATTACATAACCTCAGTATTTTGATATACATGTATACTTTTTGTCAAGATGACATCACCAGTCAATATTAAGATAACATGGGTATACCAGTCAACTCGTTCAGAAAATACACGTTTTGAGGTTGAATTAGCTTACTCTCTAATAGAAATAGGAACAATGGCAACATTGTCACAATTTACGCCCGTTACAAAAGCTTTTGACAGAAATATGTGCATTATAGATATGCATATAGGAGATATCTTCTGGGCAATATCTGGAAAATATCTGGATATATTATCATCTCTAGTGATTTTATGTGAACTTTGACCTATTTGTGTGACCTTGACCTTAGCCTTAAAATCCTTCTATGCATTACAAATTTACAGTCGGGACATGAATGTGTTTCTGAGAGAATGAGTACCTTCAAACTAGAAGTGTGACCTTGACTTTGGAGGTAGGGACATGTGTCTTCGACAACACATGTCGTCTTGATGTGGTAGACATTAATGCCTAAAATTTTAAAATCCTTCGATGCATGACAAAGTTAAAGTCCATACACAAATGTGTGTACCTATAAACTCTAATATGATAAAGTGAACTTCAAAATGGTAGTCTGCCATTGACTTTTGAGCTAGGGACGTGATTCTTGGACGTGACATATCGTCTTGATGTGGTAGACATTTATGCCAAGTTATTGTAAAATCCTTCAATGCATAACAAAGTAACAGTCAAGACACAAATGTGTATACCTATACACTCTTAATGTGATTAATTGACACTTCAAAATGACAGTGGGATATTGACCTTTGAAGTAGGTACGTGATACTTGGATGTCACACATTGTCTTGATGTGGTAGACATTTATGCCAAGTTATTTTAAAATCCTTTGTTGCATGATAAAGTTACAGTCCGGACACTAATGTGTGAACCCATTAACTCTTATTGTGATAATGTGAAACTTCAAAATGTTAGTGTGCCTTGACCTTTGAGGTAGGGACATGATTCTTAGACGTGACACATAGCATTGATGTGGTAGATATTTGTGTCATGCTATTTCAGAATCCATCGATATATTACAAAGTTACAGTCAGGACAGGAATAAAATGGGGACACACAGACAGACAGACAAATAGACGGTGCGATTTTAATAAATGGTCCTGCAGGGGCAATAAAATGTTCAAAACTATTTTAAAAGTCCATCAAGATGAGTATTTAAATTGTAATATTGAAAAGTAACTTCTTCTAAGTACCTTATACCAATAATGCGGGGTGCCAGTGAGGTTACTATCCTCTCAAACTCTAGTATTTCATTTTTCATGGCATCTGCTTTCTCCTGACTCTCATCATCACCAGCAACAAGTAATGCTCCCCATTTACTGCCTTGATAAAGGAAAGAGAAATAAAGTAAACAAGAACCGGTTGAACTGGGTTATAGTATTTGGACACAGAAAAGTACACCTGTATACCTATTGTAGTTTCAGAGTTAGGTCCCTGACAAAGTTGAAAGTGCAATAATTCCAAACTTAGGCAAGACAACAGAATTATTGTTCTTTGCATTGCTCATCTACCCAATAATATCTATCTACCTACAAAGTTTCTCGTTTATATCATGTCAGAGTCAAAGTTCAAAATGTAAATATGAACAAACGGCAATAGTTCCAAAATTAGGCAAGGTAGAGTTACAGTTCTTGTTTGTAATTACTGTGCATAAATAACCACTTCGGTACGTTCAAAGTATTGAAAGTGTGTAAATAATATAAGCTGTTTGAGAGTTTTCAGACTAGACCAATCTACTTAAATATCAAAAAGTTCTGACTTCTAGCTTCGAATTTATGTGCAAGCACATCTCCGCGTTGACAGTGTAAATGTTACAAATAATATCATAGTCATACAACAGGGAGTAATTGTAAGGAATATTTACCCTCCTTAATGCTGTACATTTTCAGTTGGTATGATCTTCATTAACAATAGATTTATAGATATATTTAGATTATAACTGCAATATGTATGTTATCATACCTATCATGGATGTCAGCTTTGCACCGCAATAACAGATTACTGGGTTGAGAAAACTGTTTTTCTCGCAAGCCATACACACTCTTATTTTTGTACGGCAGTTGTCATAATCGTCAGTCAACGAAGAATTTTTAGCTATAATTGCAAACTGTATTATGTGCATGAGTAAAACTAGAAAAGTATATGCTCACCAAATATGCATTTGTAATATAATTTGATCAAATACTTATGCCCATTCTCAGAAAAAAATAATACAATCAAACCTTAAGTTAAATTTTGGTAAAGTTAAAGCTAATTATTTCAAAGTATTATTCTTGATTTAAACAGGGCCCTTTACATCAAATGCGCCTTTGTGTGACCACTTACAAGAACATGTTATTGAAGTCTTGTTATATTATCAGAATTATTTCTTTATATGCTAGTTTATACTTAATCAATAACAAATTACCGATTGGATTGATGATACATTGATGACAGTTAATTTCCTCTTTGTTTTCAAATATCTGACAATCAACTTCTGTTTCCATAATGTTCTGAAACGAACGTAAACACCATGACTACATAATCTTAATATAAAATGTGTTAAAGTATTATTAAAAATACAGAACATCTTGTGATATAATTTCAACACGTTCATTTAAATTTAAAGACCTCATGCTCTATGATTGGAAACATTTACTTATAATAAGAATCCATGTCCCTTATTCTTGAAAATGTAAAATATCACCTCAAAAATGCAAAAAGCTCAATATTAATATAAACAATGCTAGGGATCTAATTTTTACAGCGACATAATCTGAAGGTTGCCTTTCATGACATTCAACCTTTACAAACACATCATTTGTCAAGTGTAATACATACTCGTAATTCATCAATCACATTTGCTTCGAATTCTTCAATAGTCCATGGACATTTCAAACAATTGTCGGATAAGTCATTTAGTTTTTGAATGACTCCCTTATATTTCCAAACTTTTGTCTGCAATTAAATATGATTAACTTATATCAATGATACATCAATTATATATGTTTAATATACATGTTTAAACTTAAAAACACAAATAACCATACGGACAGGTTAAAAAAATAGAAAATAAACTCAACAATATAGAAAGATACGGAATCAAAATGGCAAAATTAAAAATGTCAGCCATTCAAATGCCAATTTTCTAAAGTAAGGACTGGCACGTTAATATATTTAATGTTATTTAAGTACTCTGGCGTACTAAAACAGTACTGTACTTAATCAAGAAAACTTAAAGTGTGTTTTAATATGTATGTTTGGCATCAGCATTTATATATTAAGTAGTACATTGTAAGTAATGTCAAATACATCATCATTTTGTTTCTGTGTTTGTTGTCACCTTAATAATCATAGAAATACAATATGCATAAAGTTACTATACATGTAATGTTACCTGTTAAATATATCAAAAGCAAACCACAAAGTTGTAAGGATGATTTAATCATGTAATACATAAAAAATTAGGATCAACACACTGTTAAATTTAAATTATAAATACTTAAATTCCAATCAATTACTTCATATAATTCATAGTGCAACTGATAATGTATAAGTACTTTTCTCTAATTTTAGAATGATATTTTCAACAATTTCTATATGTGAAAACTAGATTAGGTTTAGAAATTAGAAGTTCAATAACAGTGACTTTAAATGGAAAACTTCAAAAAGAGCCAACCCGCCAAGTGGTCAAATAAAAGGTCTTGTTTATTATAGTGTCACTCCTACTGAAAGGCCAGCCATTTTTGACTTTTGAGACACCGTTTGCTTGCATACCATGTTACGATGTACCTCTCATCTCCTACCAATATGTCAGGCACCTGACAGTTAGAAATTGGTAACCATTCATTTTATCTACCTCACTGCTCACGAAACAGCAATTTCGGAATGAGTCCCATGAGAAACATTCATCCTTCAATTGACACTTCCCCTTGGGCTTCAGCCTTCGACATCCCGATCTGAAGGTGGACACCTTAACAACTATGCAAACGGTACCGTTAAATCAGAACATTCATATTAATCAGGGTCTAGTTTAGTTTTGACCTTTTTGATGGTCTTGTCCTAAACATTGCTTTGTCCAAGTATGGAGACAATCCATTCACAAATAACCAATAATAGCAAGCTGTAGCAAAAATAATCCAAAATTAACCAAAGAATTGACTTTGAAGTCCAAGGTTATTCATGTGCGTAGGTCAAGTTCAGTCTGGTAAACTTAAAGGTCTTTCAAACTGACCAAACAAGGCGACAATATGTTCACCTCCTCTTGGCATTGATGGTTTCCATAAAGTTTCGTGGAAATCCAGCCAGAAGTTGCAGAGAAGTAGCACAGAAAATAGTATTTACTCTATATGCATACTGCATAACAAATCAAGGGCAATAACTCTGTGTCAAAGGGTCTGACCAGAACATAGCAATGATATGTGCATCTCTTGGTATTGATGGTTCCCAGATAGTTTCGTGCAAAAACAGCCTATAGGTGCACAGAAATAGCGCAGAAACGAAAGTAGGACTATATGCATACTGTATAACTAATCAAGGGCCATAACTTTGTGTTGAAGGGACTGACCAAAACTAGGTGACGATATGTAAAATATGTAACATGGCAAAACTGAAAATGTTGCAAGGCAAACACGTTGAAGGTTCCATGATAACCGCCGTATGAACACATCTGCGGATGTTTCTAAATTCAAAATTTTACTATTTCACGTTTAAATATTGAATTCTGCTTAAGCCGGTGCAAGGGGGCGTGGACGGTAACTTGCACTTTCCAGTACCGTCCATGAACAGGCTCAATCAAACCGAGCCTGCAACATTTTCAATTTTGCCGTGTTGGGCTTTCTTTAGGGATTCTGTATTTATCTATTTTAATTGAAATTATTGAGCCTGTTTAAGGATGGTACTGGAAAATGCAAATCACCATCCAAGCTTTGAAGGGTAACAACTAGACTAATAACTTACATCAATTCTTCCTTTAATCTGATCCTTATCCATTTTCAATAGGAAATGACCATCTCCTTCAGGTTCAAGGCTAGTCAACATTTCTCGAATAACTTGTAAGACATAGTATCAAACATAAATATTAGCAATTGATCATTTCTTGTACATTACATACATGCAAAACAATTCAAGTTAAATACTAGCTTTAGTCTGAAATGAATGTTTTATCTAATATGAATGATAAGTAATACTACGGTAATCATGTTTGTTTCTTTTTTAGTCTGAACACAGATTATTTTGGTGAATGAGCATTCTTTGCTCCCTTGATGAATTATCCAAATCAGACCTAAACAAGTATCACTTACGTTATAAATGGTTTACCAATACACATCAGCTAAACTTTATCTTTCTTCACAGTTTTGATTTTTTTCCAGATCAGCGTAATTCAGCACAAAGTACATAATTTTTAAATATGTAAACTTTGGCGATTTTGACCAGGTGTTCTCATTTTAACTTACAAAATTAAGAGGGCCATGATGGCCCTTATATCGCTCACCTGAATATTAATATAAAGAACAAATAATATTGTTCACTATAAACGAGAGCAGATATAAAATCTAAATCTTAAACTGATATCACAAAGTATATTTATATCTGAAATAAAGCACATTAAGAAATATTATTGGTTGTTATTGCCATGTTTCATAAGAAGTCACATATTTAAGGTTTCCTTGGAAGTCAGTGCCTGCTATGAAATTCAGTTGTAGATTAACTCGTTGCTATGGAAAGTTAACGTTAGCTATGAAGTTACTGGTTGCTATGGAAACTGAGCTTTAGCTCTTGTAGATTTAGTTAAGTCTTTACTAAATACATATAAGAAAAAATCCATGTCCCAAGGTCGGGCCAATTTTGGCCTCAAGGCTATTACATGAAAAAAAATGTAAAGGTCCACCAGACAATGTTTCATACCAAATACAAAAAGATAAAGCCTCTCCATAGTATAATAACAGAAGTTGTTATTGTTTTTATTCTATATTCATAGAATGAAATTTATGAACTCGTATAATTATGGAACTGTGTCAAATATGTTATGTTGTTATTATACAATATACCCAATCAGTTACAGATGGGTTGCATTATGCAAAATGTGAAACTTACTGATTCCAAAGCTATGATAGTCATAGTATTCTTTGGCACCTTTCCCATCACCTACATCAGGATGGTCATAAGTTCTTCTTCCTCCATGGATCGTTGATTTATCGTCTTTTTCTCGGGCCAAACCAAAGTCGATAAGGCGTGCATTTAGATATTTATCCAGGACAACATTTTTAGAGGCTATGTCTTTATGTAAAATTGGACCTCTGAATGAGTAAAAGAAAAATTTTCACTGAAATTTATGGTATATATCTACATATCTGTCTTAAGCATAATCACATTGGCTATAGGTGTCGCAGAAGCGGTAACTATAACGGTACAATAATGGACCATTTGTTGCAAAAGAAACATAAACAAGAGCTGTTGGAGGACAACAACGCTCGACTATTTATTTGCAAGGGTGTTCCATTGAGTATAATACTGCTTACCTATGTATTCATAACATTGCCCCTATGCCAAATCAGACTAACAGGTTTTGTACCAATTTTGTTAGATAATCACAGAGAAGAAGTGTGTAAAGTTTCAATCCATTCCCTTCAGCAGTTATTGAGATACAAGCTTACAGGCAGAAACTTAACCAAGAATTCCTAAGTTGAAAAAGGGGCATAAACATGCAAAAATGCAAATCAAGAGTTATGGGAATTGTGTAAATCATGTATGATTTTCACAGAGAACAAGTGTGTGACGTTTCAATCCATTCCCTTCAGTAGTTATTGAGATACAAGCTTACAGGCAGAAACTTAATCAAGAATTCCTAAGCTGAAAAAGGCGCATAAATATACAACAAAGCAAATAAGAGTAATATGGGATTTATGCCTATCAAGTTAGGAAATCAAAGGGAAGAAGCATGTTAAGTTTCAATTTATTCCCTTCAGCAGTATGAAAATACCAGTGTACATGCAAAAACTTAACCAAGGATTTCTAAGTCGAAAAAGAGGCACTCTGGATCATCTCTTATATCAAGAAGTAAGTAAACAGATACCTGACATTCTGGACAGGGGTGTGAATATACTGTATCGCTAGTGCAATTTGCAGTAAAATCTTCACTCTTGTAGCCTGATTATTTATGTTTATCTCGTCTGTATTGTTCTGATCTTTACCGCTTGCAATTGCATCATGGAGATCACCGTTTTCACAATAAGGAGATATTAACCAAACTTCCCTGAATGATTATATATTCATCATTAAAAAAACAATAATATAAGTAAATAATTAATATAGTGATAATTTAGTATTCATATTTCAAATTTTTGGACAATTTAAACTGCTATCAACTTAATTACACTTGTATACTAAAATGAAAGGCAGTTTCAGCAAAATCATTTTAATGGACAAAAGAGGTATGATCAAAAAGTTCTCGGCCCCATATACTTCTACCCACTACACTGACATTTACACACGATGCGTCAATACCAATATCTTATTGAAGATTACTGACCGAGTTACACGAGGTTTTACACAGATTAAGTAACATAAAACACACTGTGATCAGTAGAGGGGTGTGTCATTTAGACCAAATGGAGAAAGTTGAAATCGGAGCCGTCATTAAGTACCTCTGTAAGAAAGGGATGTCCCCCAAGGAAATCCATGAGGACTTCATGGATACACTTGTGAAGGAGTCCCCTTCCTATAGCACTGTGAGAAAATGGGCTGCTGAACTTTAGAGGGGTAGGGAGAGCATTGGAGATGAGGAGCGGCCTGGGCGGCAAAAACAGACTACCAAAGATGAAACTGCCGAAGCTGTGCACGATCTGGTCATGTGTGACAGAAGGCGATACGTGCGAAGCATTGCTAGGGAAGTGGGTATAAGCTATGGTTCAGTTCAGGCAATTTTGACTGATGTTTATGGCATGTCAAAGGTTTCCGCTAGATGGGTCCCCAGACAGTTGACTGACGACCAGAAATGGTATATATCAAGATATCTTTTGTCTCGCTACGAGGATGGACCTGATTTTATCTACCGAATCGTAGCTTAGGATGAAACATGGCTCCATCACTTCGATCCAGAATCAAAAAACAAAAAAAAAAACAGAACAAGCAGTGTAAGTACCTTGGCTCACCTTCATCGAAGAAATTCAAGAGGGTGCCATCAGCAGGGAAGATGATGGCTTCCATTTTTTGGGATAGTCAGGGGATAATCATAATTGACTACCTTGAGCAAGGGTGTACCATAAACAGTATGTACTATGCAGATGAAATGAGACGTCTGTGAGAAGAAATCGCGCGCAAAAAGAGGGGCAAACTGACTCAAAGCATTCTGCTCCTGCATGACAATGCGCCAACTCACACATCCAAAGTTGCGATGGCTGCTGCAACTAACTGCAGCTTTGAAATTCTTCCCCACCCCCATCCCTCGTACTCTCTGGACTTGGCCCCCTCTGACTTCTACCTGTTTCATAAACTGAATACTAAGCTTCGTGGTAGACGTTTTGGAAGCAATGAAGGTGTCATGGAGACGGTCAATGAGTTTTTTGATGACTAAAAAAGAAAGTTCTATTTTGAAGGGGTAAGCAAGTTGGAGTCCAGGTGGGCAATGTGCATTGATGTACAGAGCGATTATATTGAAAAGTAAGACCATTAGTTGGGTTCTTTGACTACCGGAAGTATATAGGGCTAAGAACTTTTTGATCAATCCTCATATATGCGATTTCTTTTATTCAATTTTCATAAATATTAATCCGTGGATGTCAGTTCCATACATGGAAAATGTTTTAATTCAACTATCTAATCTGTAAAGTGATGTGATCTAAATAAATATTTTACATAAGCGTTACTGAAAAATACAAAAAAAAACAACAAAAAACAAGATGTGATGTGCTTGGATAATAAGGATACATCACACAGTTCATTCCAGATAAGACCCATTTTTAATTCTAGCAATGAACTGTTTATACAAAATGTATTGCTTTAAAAACTGTAGATTTATGTTGAAATACATCCATTCCTTTTAATAGTAACACTAATTTTTTACTTTAAGGACATCTTTGGATGATCTGAATTTGTCTATGCATACGAGCAGCCAACAATACAACTACGGATGCTACCGTTAATAAACAAGCAATTATCACAGTATCGTAAGCAATCCATAAGTCCCCTATCGGGTAAAACCCCAGCAAATGTCTGAAGGGTCATTGGTCACTGAATGAATGAATGAATGACATGAATGAACTTAAATCATTTGAGTTCTTAGTTTGTCTATATCTTAGAAATGTGTGTAAAGTTTCTCTGCCTAGTAATGAAAGAGATAATCCGAAGATCCAATTTATTCAGGATGAATAATTTTAAGTTATGTTTTAACTTTTCTCTATTTTAAGTAAATTTGTTGAAAAAATTCTTTAAGTGATCTCAGGAAACAGTTTTAGGAACGATCAGACAGACAAACTAACATACACTTTGAGAGTAAATCTTTATGGCAGCTAGATTTATAACCCTTGTTGTGATATTATGATGTTGGATGCAATAACAAACAAGATATGTTGGTAAAACATGTATGCCCCCTATGGGCAGCCAATTAGTCATGTGATCAGGTTATTATGCATGACTTCTGACCCAGTGAACAAACAATTCTTAAGGATAATCTACTGGTCATGACTAGTCACAAGGTTATTATTATTGCGACCCCATAGGTTGTGTGCAGCAATTTAAGTTATTACAAATCTTATCAAATAAAATATGCATACATTTCATGAATCATGTAGGCCCCATTAATAACAGCCAAGTTTTTATATTACATAAGACCTTCAAATGTGTATACCAAAAGCATTTTAGTTTAATATTAAAATATCAACCAAGGCAACTTGACTTGTTGAGTCAGAAACCATCTTAAAGTACAAGGTCAATTCGACACTTACCTCTTGACCCCAAAATCAATAGGGGTCATCAACTGGTCATGACCAATCACCATACCAAGTTTGAAGTTCCTAGGACTAAGCGTTCTTTAGTTATCACTCAGAAACCGATTTGCATACAAGGTCAATGTGACCTTGACTTTTGACCCCTTGACCCCAAAATCAAAAGGGGTCATCTACTGGTCATGACCAATCACCATACCAAATTTGAAGTTCTTAGTCCTAAGCGTTCTTTAGTTATCACTCGGAAACCGTCTCTACCTACAAGGTCAATGTGACATTGACCTTTGACCCCTTGACCCCAAAATCAATCGGGGTCATCTACTCGTCATGACCAATCACCATACCAAGTTTGAAGTTCCTAGGCCTAAGGGTTCTTAAGTTATCAGTTGGAAACAGTAAGGTCAATGTGACCTTGACCCCTTGACCCCAAAATCAAAAGGGGTCATCTACTGGTCATGACCAATCACCATACCAAGTTTGAAGTTCCTAGGCCAAAGCGTTCTTTAGTTATCACTCGGAAACAATTTGGTCTACGAACCGACGGACCGACAAATGCAAAGCAATATACCCCCTCTTCTTTGAAGTGGGGGCATAATGAAAAAGTTTGAGTAAAAAAAAACAGTTTCTAGAAAAAAATCTACGTTCAAGGGGATTCTGGAAATAGTCAAGTTAGAGTATTGTACCTTCTCCCAAATGATTAGAGTGATAATAAGACACATATATATTAAGTTTGAAGTAGATGCATTAAGTAATTTAAATATAAAGATACTGTAAGTATCTATACATTTGTACATTCATACGAACGAATGTACAAACGTATAGATTGATACTTAGGTGGCTGTGGGTGATACTTAGGTGGCTGTGGGAAAAATAGGTAACAGTAAATTTCCTTTGATGCAGAAGGATGGACGTGCTCGAAGTTTCGTACTTACGTGTCTACTCTTTTATTCTCTCTATTGTTCTTTTAGACACGTAAGAGAAAAAGTAAGCACATAAGAGCTTCCTGAATGAATAGCATCAAAGGAAATTTACTGTTACCTATTGTTCTCATTGTTACTTAAGTATCTATGTTTGTACAGACAGACAGATGAACAGACAAATGGAGAACCTAAAGTCCCCTCTGGGTAAACGGATAGGATGCTTATAAGGATATTACTTGATATGGAAATGGCTTGACATTTCCCAGAGATATGGTGAAGATATTTATCGTTTCTTCTATTCAGTCATAATTTCTATTATTAATAACCCTTTGTACAGATGCACTGACATACAAATTGTGATGACAAAAGCTTACCCTCACGACTTGTGCTCATATGAACAAAACATATAATACTATAAATACTTTTTCAGCTTACTCTTTTGATTTTTCAACAACAGCTAGGAGAGGTAGTATAAATGGGTTCATGAGTCTACAGGCTATCTTCTCCTAAAATGAAAGAATTTTAATCAGTATCAACAGTTTAACATAACGCAGTAATAATGTGACCAAACAGTCACATCCATTAAAGAGGTATTCATTTCACATTAAATCATAATACATTTTACACAATGTGGGTAAAATTAAATCATGAAGTGCAAGAGACTGAAACAGCTAGGATAATATTCTCTCGAATGATTTTTGAAGGAATGCCGCGACATAACAATGAGAGGGCCATGATAACCCTCATTTCGCTCACCTCAATATCAATACTCTCCATGACAAGTAATATTGTAAACGATTAACGATAGCAGATATAAAATCTAAATCAGAAACTGAAATCACAGAGTTCATATTTGTATCTAAAATAGTGCATGTGTAAAAACAATACTGGTTGCTTTTGCTAACCAATAGTTACAAAAGACATTACTGGATCTTATACAAAATAAACGGTTTCATTGGAAGTTAGTGTCTGCTAAAAAATTCAATGGTAGATTCAGTCGTTGCTAAGGAAGGTTAATGTTTAGTATGGAAGTCACAGGTTGCTATGAATCTTTACAGTATTCTATAAAGTTATCAATAGCTGCTATTAAGTAACTGGCTGCGATGGAATCTAAGCTTTAGCTCTTGTAGATTTAGAAACAAAAATTTCTGTTTATTTTTTTACTATATTTTTAAGTATATCCCCCCACCCGAGGATTGGGCCAATTTTGACCTGAGGGTTATCATTTAAAAACAAGAACATGTTTTTTAAACACAAATGCCCCCGGCTCAGATTCTTGTCAGTAGCAATATTTCAAAAAATGTTTACGCATTCACTCAATTATGGACAGAAAAATTGCCATAATATTGTAAACACAAGTTATGTAGCTTGAAAAAGTCATGGCATTTTGTAATTGTCAAAAATATAATATATAATATAATTGCCAAGTCATTGCTCTGACTTGTGAAGTTGAAAAATATTCAACTTCATCCTACCAAATATCTGTCATTAAATAAAGGCTATATGGGCAAAAGTGTAAACATCTATTTTGAGCACTGGTGACCTTGACCAAAATGACCCCTCACTCTATCCAAAAGAAAAATACCATGTAAGTTATCTTCCTACCAAATATGAAATACATCTGTCAATAAATAAAGGCTGTATGGGCAAAAGTGTAAAAATCTATTTTTAGCACTGGTGACCTTGACCCAACTGACCTCTTACTCCATCCAAAGGAAGAACACCATGCAAGTTATCTTCCTACCAAATATAAAATACATCTGTCAATAAATAAAAGCTGTATGGGCAAAAGTGTAAAAATCTATTTTGAGCACAAGTGACCTTGACCAACTGATCCCTACCCAAATCAAAAGGATGAATACCATGCAAGTTATCTTCCTGCCAAATATAAAATATATCCACTTAATAAAGGCTGTATGAGCAAATGTGAAAAAATCTATTTTTAGCACTGGTGACCTTGACCCAACTGACCACTAACTCCATCAACGTTTATTTTCTATCAATTATAAATAACATCTGTCTATAGAATAAGGTCAATACACCTGTAAAAATCTATTTTTAACATTGGTGACCTTGACATTGGTAACATTGACCTTGACCAAAATGACCCCTTACTACAACCAAAGAAGGAGGACCTCCCTTGGCATGTTTGTATTAAACTAAGACATCAACTAAAAAAAAAGACTGTATGAGCAAAAATGTTTATATTTATTTTTTAAACCAGTGACCTTGACCCTAGAGACCGCTTACTCCACAAAAAAGTTAGAGGACCATCAAAGGTATCCACCTACTAAATATGAAAGATATCATTAAAGAAATTAAGCAATTAGGAGAAATTTAAGATAAATGCAACTTGCCGAAATAGGTTAACCAGACAAGGCCCTATTTTCAAAGTGGAAAAAGGGAAATAACTGGGAAATATGGATGACACAGTTATATAACTTGGCAATATCATGCACTTTGTATTGATAAGTTAGTGTGGAAATTATAAAGCCATTAGTATAGATAGAACTTAACCGTTTTAGGTTAACCATTATTCATTTTCTAAGTGCTGAAAAGGGCAATAACTTGGTAAATATGAAAGCCAGAGTTATGTAACTTGCCCAGATCATGTACTTTGTATTGATTAGTAAATGTGTAACCTTAGAAGCCATTGGTACAGGTAGAACTTAAGAAAAATCCAATTTGCCGTTCTAGGTTAACCTCGTACGGACAAACGGACGGACGGTTCAATTACTATATGCCCGGAGGCATAAAAAATTGTAGTGGTTCAACAGACAATGTTTCATACCAAATATATAAGAAAAAGCCTCTATAGTATAAAAGCAGAAGGTTTTTTTGTTTTTAAAATATATACATAGGACAAGAGCCGGTTCAACCGGGTAATGCTCCCCGAATAGGTTATGGACACAGAAAAGTATATCTTTTGTAGTTTTGAGATTTATGTCCGAGAAAAAGTTCAAAATGTGATTATTCCAAACTTAGGCAAGGCAGAGCAACTACGGTTCTTTGCACTGCACTTCTACTCAATGAGATCTAACCACCGACTTGCGCACGACACGTCGGCTCAATATGGTGATCATTTCTGTGAAATAGTTGTAAAATCCAACCTAAAATAACACTAGAAATGTGTCCATAGGCCACGGGTGCCCCCACCGCGCCACTGTTCTGTCAATCTTTTTACTAAGTCAAGGGAAATAACTCTACAAATACTGGATAAATCCACAAGCGAAACCCCAGGTGCAAATCTAAATATGCTGAGCAACCTGCCCATAAGGTTTAATGACTATGTCAAATCCTTTTTGAGTAACTTGCGACACAATTTGAAAATTGCAAAAAGTTTCTAATTGAAGGGCAATAACTCTAAAAATTCTAAATAATTCCACACGAAACCTGGTGCACAACTGCACATGCTGATCAATATTCCTGTTAAGTTTCATGAGTCTAGGTCAAATACTTTTTGAGTTACATGCGACACAAGTTGAAAATTGCAAAATTTTACTAAGTCAAGGGCAATAACTCTGAAAATACTAAAAATATCCAGACGAAAATACCCAGGTGCACAACTACACATGCTGATCAACATTCCTGTAAAGTTTCATGACTCTAGGGCAAATACTTTTTGAGTTACGTGCGACACAAAAGTGAACGGACGGACGGACGGAAGGACGGACGGACAGACGGACAAGGGTAAATCTAAATGCCCGCCACTAACGTGGGGGCACAAAAATTATCGGCCTGAACAATTTTTGTGCAAAGTCATGTTGTGACCTTGACCTTCAAGGTAGCGACCAAAATGCTGCGGGTGACACATCGTCACAATATGGTAATCATTTCTGTGAAATAGTTGTAAAATCTGACCTCAAATAACGAAGTTATGGGCCAGACACGATTTGCTGCAAGGTCAAGTTAAAACCTTGACCTTCAAGGTAGAAGCCCAAATGTGCGTGAGACATGTCATCTAAATATGGTGATCATTTCTGTGAAATAGTAGTAAAATCAGACTTCAAATAACGAAGTTATTGGCCAGACTAGATTTTGCTGCAAGATCATGCTGTGACCTTGACCTTCAAGGTAGCGACCAAAATGCTGCGGGTGACACATCGTCACAATATGGTGATCATTTCTGTGAAATAATTGTAAAATCCCACATCAAATAACGAAGTTATGGGCCGGACAAGATTCTGCTTCAAGGTCATGTTGTGACCTTGGCCTTCAACATAGTGAATCATTTGTTGGGCGCGACACGTTGTCTCAATATGGTGATAATTTATGTGAAATAGATGTAAAATCTGACTTCAAATAACAAAGTTATGGGCCGGACACGATTTTCCTTCAAGGTCATGCTGTGACCCTGACCTTCAAGGTAGCGACCTAAATATTGTGCGCCACATGTCGTCTCAATATGGTGATCATTCCTGTGAAATAGTTGTAAAATCAGACTACAAATAACAAAGTTATGGTCCAGACATGATTTGCTGCAAGGTCGTGCTGTGATCTTGACCTTCAAGGTAGCAGCCAAAATGTTACGTGCCACACGTCATCCCAATATGGTTATCATTTCTGTAAAATAGTTGTAAAATAAGACTTCAAATAACGAAGTTATGGGCCGGACACGATTTTGCTGCAAGGTCATGCTGTGACCTTGACTTTCAAGGTAGCCGACCAAATGTTGCACACGACATGTCTTCTCCATATGGTGATCATTTCTGTGAAATACTTGTAAAATCCGACTTTATGTAACAATATTATGAGCCGGAGACGATTTAGCTACAAGGTCATGCTGTGACCTTGACCTTCAAAGTAGCGACCAAAATTTGCGTGTGACACGTCATCTCAATATGGTGATCATTTCTGTGAAATAGTTGTAAAATCAGACTACAAATAACAAAGTTATGGGCCAGACACAATTTGCTGCAAGGTCATGTTGTGACCTTGACCTTCAAGGTAGCAGCCAAAATGTTACGTGCCACACGTCATTCCAATATGTTTATCATTTCTGTAAAATAGTTGTAAAATAAGACTTCAAATAACGAAGTTATGGGCCAGACACGATTTTGCTGCAAGGTCATGCTGTGACCTTGACTTTCAAGGTAGCCACCCAAATGTTGCACACGACATGTCTTCTTCATATGGTGATCATTTCTGTGAAATACTTGTAAAATCCGACTTTATGTAACAAAATCATGGGCCGGAGACGATTTAGCTACAAGGTCATGCTGTGACCTTGACCTTCAAAGTAGCGACCAAAATTTGCATGTGACACGTCATCTCAATATGGTGATCATTTCTGTGAAATAGTTGTAAAATCCGACTTCAAATAACCAAGTTATGGGCCGGACACGATTATGCTTCAAGGTCATGCTGTGACCTTGACCTTCAAAGTAGCGACCCTAATCACAGTTGCGAGCCACACGTCGTCTCGATACTGTGATCATTTCTGTGAAATAGTTGTAGAACCCGACTTCAAATAACAAAGTTATGGGCCAGACAGGAATTTGGAACGTACATATGGACGGAGGGACTGACGAATGGACGGACAATTGGCAATAATATGCTGCCCCGAAATTTTTCTGGGCGCATAAAAATCAATGATCCCCTGAGGCCGGCAAATTTTGATCCAATGGCTATAAATTTTACTAATTTTTGTAGAGGTCCAGCAGATAATGTTTCATATCAAATATTTAAGCTGAAGTCTCTATAGTATAATAAAAGAAGCTTTATTTTGCTTTACTCAATACATATATGGAAAATCAATGAACCCTGGGGTGGAGCCAATTTTGTCCCAAGGGCTATAATTTGAACAAACTTAGTAGAAGTATACTAGATAATGCTTCATCATGTCAAACAAAAAGCTTTAGCTCTTGTACCTTAAGTGTTTTAATATGTAATATTTTAATATGTAAATATAAGGAAAATCTATGTCCCCCACCCCTGTTAAGGTCCAATTTTGACCCAATGGCTATAATTTGAACAAATTACTAAGGAGGCCCACCTGAAAATGTTTCATAAATATCTATGCTGCAGCCTCATTTAATAAGAGTTCAAGAGCCAATTAATTAGTGCATTTTAATGCTATATATACTGTAAATATTTGTAAAAATGCTTGCAATAAGGAAAATTTAGACATTTACTTTTGATTTTTATAAATATTTGTTGATATATTAAATCATCATAAATTCAAAGATAATAATTTAGAATCTTATTTTTTTTCTTGACTTTACTTTATCTTATTAATCACAAAGACCATGTATCATATCAAATATCTAAGCGAAAGTCTCTATTGTATAATATAACTAGATTTTTTTTCTTTTTACTAAATACAAAACGGGAAAATCAAAGACCCCTTGGGGCAGGACCATTTTTGACTTTAGTGCTTTTATTTGAACAAATTTGGTAGACACCCGCCAGAAGATGTATGATGCTTAATATCTAAGCTCTAACTCTTCCGGTTTTTTGCCTGAAGATTTATTTTTGTTTTTACTTTATATATTTAAGGATAATCACTGCCCTTGAACAGAGCCAAATTTGAAATGAACAAACTTTGTAGACATCCACTAGAAGATGTTTTATGCTAAATATCTAAGCTCTAGCCCTTTGGACTTTTTACGACAAAATTTTGTTTTGTTTTAAATATATACATACACTTAAAAGAAAAATCAATGAACTTTGGGGCAGAGCCAATTTCGACTCCAGGGCTTTTATTTGAACAAACTTGGTAGACACTCACTATTTTATTTCTTTTCTTTGGGTTGCAAGGGTAACTAGAATTTAGCATGGAATTAAATTTTAAAGAGCTTTAACATATCAGGCACATTCCAGCTCAGTTTTAACAATATTGGACAATTGGAACAGGAGGAGATATTGTTTTAAGAAATAGTTTCACACCATTTTTGAAGGACGCGCGGCAGACGCAGAGTTACCACAAAAGCTCACCCTTGAGCACTTCGTGCTCAGGTGGACAAATAAACATAAACAAACACACACACACATCAATATGTTGTTCCAGTTGAATACAGAAACTGTTTCTATGATAATGATTATAATAAATTACATTATAAGTTGCAAAGAAATAGTTACCCTTCTGACTTGACTTTTAATTTTTGGATCACTTTTTGTTTTTATCTTCTTCACGGCAACAGGAATTCCAAATATTTCCTGATTGTCTGTACAAATAACGAAAGAACTTTGATTAACAATATTGTATTAAGTTTAATTTTGCTACTAAATCAACAAACACTTACAATAAATTTTTATATTTGTTTTTTTATTCTTTAAATTTCTTGAGCCCATAAAGAATAACGATTGCTATCAAAAGATGCTGCACAAGTCATTAAAGGTCTGTAAATACAATAATAGTCTTAACAAGTTAACATCAATGGATAATGCATGAAGTAAACAAGCAATGCACAAGAAAATAAAACAACAATGACATGATAATTAATGAGACAATCAAATTTGCAAAGTAATCCCCTTTTTCAGTATTTGCTTTTAAGACTTGATTATAAAAACGTTTATGTACAGTTTGACAATTGATGCATTCTTATGTGCCATGGCATAATTTAATTGGATAAATCTTTTTTATTTTTTGTAAATCATTATAAGAAAAAATAATGCTGAAAGAAGGCAGTCTGAAGGACAGCTAAATCCCCTCTCGCAGTGAACATGAATGTGTTCTTCTTCACCTTTTACCAACCATGACCTTGATGTTGTGTCATGCATGTCATAAGCACATAGTCTCAAAATGGTGACTATATGTGCCAAGTTATTTAAAAATTCAAAAAGTCAAAAAGTTATGGAAAACATTATAACCTCGACATTAGGGGTAGCAACCTGAATGTTGTGCTCTGCAGATTGTGTCATGGTGGGGGTCATTTGTGCCAAGTAATTTTAAAACTTTTGAATTGTCAATAAGTTATAGAGCTGACATGACATGAATAGATGTTTTTACATTGGACCTTTGAGTGTGATCCTGACCTTCAGGGTCGTGACTTATTATTGTGCTTTGCCAATGGTGTCATAATGGTGATCATTTCTGCCAAAATATCTTCAAAACATTGCAGTGGTTTAAATGTTATGGACAGACAAGAAATGTAGACTTTCTTACATTTGACATGTAAGTGTTACCTTGACTTTAGGGTTAGCAATTCAATTATTGCGCTCTGCACATCATCTCATAATGGTGATTACTTGTGCCAAGCTATTTAAAAAAATTTCAGAGGTTTAAAAGTTATGGAGGGAACATTTGACCTGTAAGTGTGGCCTTGACTTTGGGGGTAGCAACCCAATTATTGTCCTTTGCACATGTTCTTTTAATGGTGATTAATTGTGTCAAGTTATTAGTTCCCTACCGGTTTATCGGAGGGGACTCTAGGTTTACCCTCCGTCCGTCCGTCAGTCCGTCCGTCCACAAAACTGGATCCCGCGATAACGCAAAAAGTACTGAAAATATTTTTATGAAACTTGATATATGGATAAATGGCAGTATGGAGATTATGCTCGTCTTTTTCTTTTCTTCCTATGTTGAAAATTCTGGTTGCTATGGCAACAAATAGACTGAAAATATGTCAAATTTTACACATAACCTGGATCCAGTGATAACGCAAAAAGTATTGAAAATATTTTTATGGAACTTGAAATATGGGCAGATGGCAGTCTTCAGATTATGCACATCCTTTTCTATGCTAAAATTTTGGTTGCTATGGCAACAAATTGACTGAATTTCAAGATTTCTGATTCTAGTTTTTAGGTTTTTTCACTATAAGTTCTTTATTTCTTAAGGTATTTTCTTCAAACTTTAAATATAAGTTTCTAGTCATCACATTGTGTATGACGTCTTCTATATTTTTTTCCAGAGTTATCTCCTTTTCAGAATTTTGCTTTAAAAAATGTTATATTTTGATAACAGGGATGTTTAAAAAATTACTTTAGAGTGTCCTTCAGTCTGACTGTCTGTCTGTACATAAAAACTTTTTGCTGTGATCACTTTTAATTTGTGTCGTTACGTCATTCGGCTCTAATGATATAAAATGACCTTTAAATATTAGACAGTTTGTAGCCGAAACTTGTTAATCATGAAAACGTAAATATATACGGAATATTATGTTGTAGCTTTGTATTTTACTACTAGCAGCGGTGGAAAAAATGATATCTCGCGAGACCGAAGGTCGAGCGAAATATCAATTTTCCAACACTGCGACTAGAAAAAGGTATACTGTAGGCTCAGAAAGCTACTACAACATAATTTTCCTTTTATTATATACCTTTTCGTTTGAATTATAAATGATTTTCATTATATTACACTTCTATAAGAAATTTCAGAAAATGAAATGAAGCTGTCAAGAAATAAATTTATGACCCACAGATAAATACGTAATTTTTGCAAAACCAGCCACGCCTTTTATAATTTTGGTTTCCGTTTCCAAATGCTACGTTTATACACATCTAATATCGGAACCAACGGCAAAATAAGTCCGGCACTTACATATATGGAATATTCTATCCGTTCAATCCGTTCAAGCGTATTTTCGCTTAAAGTTCATCCTGTATTTTAGGGAGAAAATTTGTAGGTATATAATAAAGGCTGTCATTGACAATTCTGATGTTTTAATTTATATATGTTTTAATTGCAGTCCTATTTATAGTTACGAATTCTACGAATTAAAATAGAAAACGAAAGTAGCATGCAGACGGTGTTGATATTGTGTGATAAAACATCCGAGTAACCGAGTACTCGATCGGAAAAATGACCGAGTACTCGAGTATTGATTTTGGTATTCGTTGCCATCCTTTCTTTTAAAGAGACATAAGTGAATGGCCAATGGCCCTACATAATGCTGCTGGTGTTCTATTCGGTAGGGTACTTATGAATTGCTTGTAATACTATGATAATTGCTTGTTTTTTTAAAAATTCAGCGTTTAAAAAGTAATAATATAATAATAAATACCACATTTATATAGCGCCCTTTTCATTAAAATGTTCAAAGGCGCTTTATATCAATCATATATGTCTAAAACAATATAAATGAACAGGATTATGAACATTAAAAATATTTTGCATTAACTAATTAAAAGTATAAATTATGGAATTATTTTTACATATTAATACAATATAACTTAAAGATCCTTAAAACTCACTTTACAATATTATTGTCATACATTAAAATTGTCTTCAATATATAATAATAGATAAGATCTTGCTAAATCATCATTATAAAACAATAGAAATACTAAATTGATTTAAAAATTGTTTGTTTAAAAAAAACAAAAAAAACAACTTTTTAATAAAACTTATATTCAAATAACAGATACTTCGTATTCACTGTTTATAAAATTCATTCATAACAGTCACTGATTATTTTCCATAAGCTAAATTGAAGTAGTGTGTTTTAAGATGTTTTTTGAAACTTTCTACTGTGTTACAGTTTTTTAGATGACTTGGTAGTGAATTCCATAGCTTAGGAGCTGATGCCGAAAAACTCCTTTCACCAAATTTCAGTTTAGTTTTTGGTTGCACTAATCGTACAGGTGCATTTGAAGAGCGCAGATTTCGGGAAGTGGAATAAACTTGAATCATTTCCTGCATATATGATGGAGATTGTTGTTTCAGTGACTTGAAAGTATGTAATAAGATCTTGTAATTCACTCTATATTCGATTGGCAGCCAATGAAGATCTTTCATCACTGGTGTAATATGATCTTTCCTAGATGTACGTTTAATCACACGGGCTGAAGTATTTTGAACAAGTTGAAGTTTTTTCATGGTTTGTTGAGGTATACTATATATAAGAGCATTGCAATAATCCAGTCTTGATGTCACGAGAGAGTTAACGAGTGTTTTTGTAGCTTCTTCGTTGATATATTTTCGAATACGTCCTATCTTACTTATTTGGGCATACGAAGATCTGCACACGGAGCTAACATGATGTTCCATATTAACCCTTGAATCAAGGAATGCACCCAAATTCCTTACACTTGATGACTGTTTGATTTCAACTTGGTCCACATTGACAGTTATATTTTTCACTGAGTCTGTATTGCTACCCGACGAAAAGACTATAAGTTCTGTTTTGTCTGAATTCAGTTTGAGAATGTTGCTGTTCATCCAGAATGTTATTTCTTTTAAGCAGTTTGAGACAGAATCAAGTACAAGTTCAGTTTTGGTGTTGTCCAACGGTTTGAAAGAAATGTATATTTGAGAATCGTCAGCATAGAAGTGACATTGCAGACCATGTTTTCGACAAATTTCGCCAACAGGTTTTGTGAAAAGTATGTAAAATTTTGGTAATGGAGCGGACAAAAAATGTAGACTTTCAATATCTGACCTCAAAGAATGACCTAGACCTTTTGAATAGCAACGCAATTATTGCGTTCCGCACATTATCTTATAATGGTGATCAGTTGTGCCAAGTTATTTAAAAAAAAGTTCAGCAGTTTAAAAGTTATGGAGCAGACAGGATATGAAGACTTTTCAACATTTGACCTTTAAGTGTGACCTTGACCTTTGGGGTAGCAGCACAATTATTGCGCTCTGCACATCATCTTATTATGGTGATCACTTGTACCAAGTTATTTCAAAAAATTTTCAGCAGTGAAAAAGTTATAGAGCGGACAAGAAATGTAGACTTTTTTATTATGAAATGAAGACTTTTCAACATTTGACCTTTACGTGTGACCTTGACCTTGGGGGTAGCAACCAAATTTTTGTGCTCTTCACGTCTCATTATGGTGATCACTTGTGCCAAGTTATTTCAAAAAACTTTTCAGCGGTTTAAAAGTTATGGAGCAGACATGAAAGTGTTAGAGACAGACAAATGGATGTCCGGCCGAAATGGAATAAGGGGCCATTTATTTTGTCATTTTCTTTTGTTTAATAGAGGGCCAATAGCCCCTTACTCAATTGTTACGGAATGGACTCTACTCTTTTGTTCTGTTTACAGTTAAATGGCACCCTATAACTATTCGGTAGTGCGGAAGGACTGACGGACTGACAGAGGGAGGCCATTCCTATATTCCCCTTTCCGCTTTGCGAAAGGGATTAACAAAAGCAGTCACTATATAGCAAATTCTGAATTAGGACATACATATACTTACTGCAACAATATACTGTGCCAATTCGACCTTGTCCTATAGGCTCTTTATCTAATGATGATTCCAAGGTGATTATTTCATGGCTTTGCAATAGCATCAATCTACCATCAAAGATACAGGAACTCTTTTGAAACATTTTTGCATCTAAAAAAGAAAGTGATGAAAGTTATCTTATTTACATTTGTTTTAATAGTAAAACATACTATCATTGGTTTATTTTAATACTAAATAAAAGAATAATTGATATAAGATATCAAAAGTATTTAAATCATTATCAACATCTATTGAGTGCGCGGGCAAAAAGGAATCTTGTTTTACTTCTAAATGCATACACGCTGAAGAACGAACAAGAGAATGGTTGACAAAAAAACAACACATCATTTCATTACAGATGAACATAAACATTTTACATCTTCACTGGATGGCCAAGAGTATGCAAGCTAGATAAATACTTTTGCAACTTAAAAACAATTCTGCAAAGGATTATTTTATATAAACATAGCGATAAGATGTGCTAGACTTTAGGCTCAATAAAAATGGTTCTTTTCCACTTCAAACAGTCTTTATTCTGGGTATGTGATAAAACAAGAGGGCCATGATGGCCCTGAAGTCGCTCACCTGTATATAGGCCCCCGAAGCGAGGCCGGTTTAAACCCCACGGCTTTTATTTGAACAAACTTGGTAGACACCCATTAGAAGATGTTTCATGCTAAACATCTAAGGGCCAGCTGGTCCAGTTTTTTCTTTACACATACCGTTAAAAACAATGACACACCTCGGGCAGGGCCAGTTTTGACCCCAGGGCTTTTATTTGAACAAACTTTGTAGACACTCACTAAAAGATGCTTCGTGCTTAATATCTAAACTCTAGCTATTCAGTTTTTTTCAAAGAAGATTTTTAAGTTTTTGCTATACACATATAAGAAAAATCAATGTCCCCCGGGGCAGCGCCAATTTTGACCCCAGGGCTTTTATTTGAACAAACTTTGTAGACACTCACTAGAAGATGCTTCGTGCTTAATATCTAAACTCTGGCTATTTGAGTTTTTTCAAAGAAGAATTTTTATGTTTTTGTTATACACATATAAGGAAAATCAATGACTCCTGGGGCGAGGCCAATTTTGACCCCAGGGCTTTTATTTGAACAAACTTGGAAGACACCCATTAGAAGATGTTTCATGCTAAATATCTTAGCTCTAGCTATTTGGGTTCTTTAAAAGAACATTTTTTTAAAGTTTTTACTATATGCATATAGGGAAAATCAATGACCCCCCTGGGGCGGGGCCAATTTTGACCCAAGGGCTTTTATTTGAACAAACTTGGTAGACACTTACTAGAAGATGTTTCATGCCAAATATCTAAGCTCTAGCTCTTTGGGTTTTTTAGAAAAAGATATTTAAAGTTTTTTCTTTTGGTTGCCATGGCAACCAGAGTTCTGCATGGAATTAAATTATTTGAACAATTTTCAAAGGTGACGGACGCCAGACGAAAAGCGATCACAAAAGCTCACCCTGTCACTTTGTCACAGATGAGCTAAAAAATTACTAAATTTATTGAACTCATTGAATAAAACAATATTATGATCACCAGAGGCTCACATAATATCATTATATTCAACTTGTTCAATTAATTCATATTGAACTTACACGCATTAATATTCTCTATTTATCTAGATAAAATACTTGCCAAATGTGTTTGCCTAATTTTATGTATCGAGTTTTAGTTAATTGAATTGTTGAAACCTGTATGAGTTTTATACACACCAACACATAAGAGGCCTTGTGGCGATATTCAAGATTAACTGCCCCTCCGTTCATTTTTTCAAGCACAAGCGGTATTACCTTATCTTCTTAGTGAACAGTGTTTGACTAATCCTTGTCAGTTGAAATGCATTGTCATTATTTAACATTCTTACATAACTATAGCAAGAGACAGGTGATTCATACACTGAATATCATACACTAAAAGTATTATCATATACCTCTCCCACATGAAACAAACTTTATTTTTATACTTTTTATTCTGTACTTTTTGTGATCACACAATAAGTCATATGATATACCGGTAAAATGAAATAACAATGAAAATATCCTGGATTTAAAGTTGATTCATTTAATATTTTAATAATACCAAATGGTTATTCAACTGGTACTTACTGAGCCAATACTCTGTAAGCTCCTTTGTTTCAAACACATGCTCTTCTGTCGTGCATTTGCATTCAACTTCTGATTTTTTTGACAGTTCATCTATTGGGAACATATTTTCAATTGAATTGTGCTTTGAAGACGAACATTTGAATAACACCTTCACGTTACCAGAACGGTTCAAACAGTTGGTGAGCCGGTCTAAGATGAATGTGTAAACATCAAGACATACAGATTGGCTAGGCTTTTCCTTTTTTGTGCTGTATTTTGTGAGCCATATTTGAATTACATGATTGAAAAAATACACATAAAGTGTATGATTTTGTTCCAGATCAAATATAGCACATCCACGGTAAACCAAGTAATTTCCATCTTTTTTTGATAGCTGCCATTTATTGATACAAGCTGCAAGGAGTTTGTTGAAAACATGTGCATGTAAAAATTGTAATTCTGTTGTCAAGCACAGTTTACTTGTCGACATCCTATTTTCAGGTAACCGTTTTGGAGATAACAAATCATCTGGTGGTGTTTGTTTCAGGAAACATGGAGCAAAGTAGTAATCAGTTACCTGTAATGATCAAACATGAAGTTACAGAAAATTCTTCTTAAAATGCCTCCACTGAGTTTTTTGACATAACCGTCATTAAAAAATATTTGATGGTCAGGGCGAATTGTAAAATCATTCGCTCACCCTGTTTTACCAGAACCGTCATTATTTTGCAAAATGACCAAATATTATTGTTTTTTTTAAAATCCTTACTACCAGTTTTGTTAAATAACATTAAAGCTACATTTTATAAATATGTAGAAATATTTTGCGTCAGCCTAAAAACCTAGCAGTCTATGCTTTTACTAACCTTTTTTATAAGTGTTGTTAACCCAATCAAATACTGTTCAGAAAATAGTACTGCCTCTATCATCCGCATACTGCTTTGTAAGAATCATGTACTAGTCATAATCAACCTTAATACTTAATATAAGGACTGTTGACCAAAGCATTCTTAAGCAATTGAGCGGATAAGCCTTTTGAACTTAATGCCCTTGACGTTAACCTTTGACCCAGTGACCTCAAAATCATAGGTGTCACAAAATGGTCTTGACCAACCTCCATGCCAAATATGAAGACTGTGGGTCAAAGGATTCTTAAGTTATTTGGCGGACAAGCTTTTGAAGTCAAGGGCGCTGTGACTTTCACCTTTGACCCAGTGACATGAAAGGCATTATGGGTCTGCTGATGGTCATGACTAACCCCCATGCCAAATATGAAGACTGAGGGTCAAAGGATACTAGTTATTGATTGGGCAGACAAGCCTTTTATAGTCAAAGCCCTTCTGACCTTGACATTTGACCTCAAAATCAATAGCAGTCAGCTACTTGTCATAACCAACCTCAATGCCAATTATGAAGACAGTTGACCAAAGCATTCTAAAGCAATTGAGCTGACAATCATTTTGAACTACATACCCCTTTGACCTTGACCTTTGACCCAGTGATTTCAAAATCTATAACAGTCATCTACTTGTCATTACCTAACCAAACTCCATGCCAAATATGAAGACTGTGGGTCAATGGATTCTTAAGTTATTAGACGGACAAGCTTAAATAAAGGCATCACAGGATTACAAGAAAGGGACAAAACACTGTCCGTCAAATAAGGTTAAGAATTACACAAAAATCAACTTTCAAATTCATTTTTACTACATTCTTTTCCTTTGCAGACATATTTAAGTGTTTGACTTGATCTGTGTAAGGATTTGAAAGTTTATGTCTTTAGACCCTTTGACCTCAGTGGAGCTCATATATGTCTAATTACTTTCTAAGACCAGATGATCTTAACATTTTGTAAAACTAAATCAGATACTAAATATTGCATGAAAAAATTGTTTGCACTGTTAATCTAGAGTAAGAATTGTCAGTTAAAATATATATATCTTAACATGTTTTATACTCACATCAGATGTACCAGGGAGATGATGAGGTTTGGCAATGATACCTAATTTCTCCAGATACTTTAACAGGAGGTGTCTGTGTTTGTGAAACTCAATATTCCCTTTCGGGTCCCAGATCTTTTCTATAAATACAGAATTAATGAAATTAAAATTCATCACATAAAAACAAATTATGATATATAAACAATTAATCATTCAACTGAGTATATACTAAACATAAACAAGATATCATTTAAAAACATCTATATTAATGGGCTCAAAAACGAATTATTTGAGCAATTTTTGTTATGAGCTACATATTCCTTTATAGTTTTTAGTGAAGACGGATATCTTATCTAAAAGTTTTCCTTTTTAGTGATAGTGGTAATCTTGTTCAGCAAACCGGAACAATTTTACAAAATTTTATAAAGAACTGCCAAATGATCAGTTCTGCAAATTTTTATATATTTATAAATATGTAAATATTTATTGGATTATTGAGACCAAGAATTCATTTAACACTTTTTTCTATCTTAAGTTCTAGTGGCCAAGGATGTTTAACACACTGCCACCATAAGATTTTGAAAGGGGACAACCATAGGGTCATTCCACTATTGGTGGAGATATAGAAATCTTAATGACGGACAACTGAAGATTGACACAGGGCTATCACTATAGCTCACTGACGGACAGACCGACAGACAGACAAACATTAGCAAAACAATTTATCCCCTCTTCTTCTAGTGGGGGGGGGGCATAACAATATTTGAATATGTTTTTCATATAAAAGTTAAGTTAAACTCAGTGACACCGGGGTTGGGAACAAATATGAGGCATAAACATTTAACCTGCAATGGACTACATGGTGATGTTACATGTCTAATACCGAAGCAGTTTTGGAATGGTAGTTTTCAATGAAGTAAAATTTGTAAAGCAATGTTATCTCTTGTGACTTTTAATGCACCTCAATGGCACCTTTAACATTATCATAAGATCAGTCCTGTGAGTGTGGTTCTATCCATCTTCTAACAAGTGGCAAATATCTAAATTCTGGACATTTTAGTTTTAAACTGGAAATGTGTCCATAGGACACGGATGGCCCCAACGCGCCACTGTTCTGTCAATCTTATGACTATAGGTCAAATATTTTTTGAAAAATAAAAATCTTTTACTAAGTAACGGGCAAGAACTTTACAAATACTAAATAAATCCACAAGCAAACCCAATGTGTATAAGTACGCATGCTGACCATCATTCTTGTTAACTTTCAGGCCTACAAGTCAAATACTTTTTGAGCTATGCATGAACAAGTTGAAAATTGCAAATTTATACTACTGTAAGTCAAGGACAATAACCCCAACAAAACTGAACAAAATCTACATGCAAAACCCAAGGTGCATAGCTTCACAGTGATGTTGATCATTATTCCTGTAAAGTTGGTTGATTATAACTCAAGCACTCCAGGAACAAATAACACAACATAATGGAACTGTTTTCATTAAGTCAAGGGCAATTAATCTGACAAAACAGGATAAATCCACAAGTGAAATCTCAGTTGCACAACTTTACATGCTGAGCAGCATTCCAGTAAAGTTTCATGACTCTAAATCAAACACTTTTTGAGCTACATGTGACACAAGTTGAAAATTGCAAATATTTTCTAAGTCAAGGGCAATAACTCTAACTTAACATGATACATCCACAAGCAAAACCCCTGATGCACAATTTTACATTCTGATCAACATTTCTATAAAGTTTCATGACACTAGGTCGAATACTTTTTGAGTTACATGCGACACAAGTTAAAAATTGGAAATTTTTACTAAGTCAAGGGCAATAACTAAAAGAATACTAAATATATCCACACGAAATTACCCAGGTGCACAACTACAAATGCTGTTCAACATTTCTATAAAGTTTCATGACTCTAGGTAAAATACTTTTTGAGCTACGTACGACACAAAAGAGAACGGGCGGACATATGGACGGACGGGAAAGGGTAAATCTAAATGCCCCACCCCTAAAGTTGGGACACAAAAAGCTGTCTAAAGGTTTATTTTATTTTTAGCTCCCTTGATCCCTAACAGGGGCAAACAAATTAATATGAGCAAATTTGATAAAAGACTACCTAAAAATGCTACAAAGTTTGGTGATCATTCTTCAATTGGTTCTGTAGAAGAAGATGTCTAAAGGTTTTTCTATTTTTATATCTAGATCCCCTAAAAGAGGCCAATCAAATTAATATGAGTAAATTTGATAAAAGACTACCTAATAATGTTGCAGACAAAGTTTGGTGATCATCTATCAATTGGTTCTGTAGAAGATGTCAAAAGGTTTTTCTCTTTTTAGCTCTCTTGACCCCTAAAAAGAGCTACTTGAAATCATATGAGCAAATTTAGGTGTGACTGTCACAAGGATGTTACAGACCAAATTTAAAGTAAATCTGTCCAGCGGTTTCAGAGAAGAACATGATTGTTGAGGCATGAAGACGGAAGCCCCTTTGATACTCATAGCTCACCCTAAACCTTCGGTTCTGGTGAGCTAACAAAGGTCAATAACACCAAAATTAGGCAGGACAAAGTAATGGTTCTTTTGCACTGTACTTCTACTCAATGAGATCTATCTATCTACAGTTTCATGTTGATTCCTTTTGTTGTTTCAAAGTTATGACTCGGACAAGAATAGCGGACTGCCAGAAAGACGGACGGACAGACAAAGCCGTCACTATATGCTCACCCTTCGGAGAGCATAAAAATCAATTACCTCTTAGGTCGAGCTAACATTTTATTTGAACAAGTTTTGTAGACACCCACTAGAAGATGTTTCATGCTAAATACTTAGCTAAGCTCTAGTTCTTTGGCTTATATTTTTCACGACCTTCATGCCGAATCATTCATGCTTAGTTTTAACAATATTGGACTATCTGTATAGGAGATGCTGTTTCAAGAATGACACAAATCAGATGCTGGATGCAAAATGGGCTGAGGCAGACTAATCACAAAGCTCACCTTAAAACAACAATGTTTTGACTAATCAGAAATCAGATCTATTTCAGTACATATTAATTTCTTTTGTAAAGATATTGCAATTCTTTTAAATACTGAACTTACCAACAAGTGTTTCTTTCAAAATTGCACTCTCTCCAAACTTTATCCATTCTTGAAATATTGCTGGATCTTGCCTGCTGCAGAAGTCTTGAGCAGTAATGAGACTTTTGAAAGCGTCTATCAACCACTGTGGATCAAGGACAATAGTGTCGCTTAATTCCTCTTCACTGAAGAAAATTCATAGTTTATCAAACAATTAAAATGTTATAATGTCCTTTTTCTTGTTTGGTAATTATCTTGTATTACATCCTTTATCATATTATGCAATACATGTCCATGTTATAGAATGTTCAATACCATTCATATATATTATATATAAAGATTTTTAAATATTTTCACTGTATCAATATAATAAAGAGTGGGGTCAATTTAGATCGCAGGGCTATAATTTGAATGAACTTAATAGATGGTCACTTAATAATCCTTTATGCAAACATCTCAATATCAAAGTTCTATTCCTTGTGGTTTTGAAGACAACGGGTCCTTCATATTTTCACAATATACATATATGGAGCCAATTTGACCCCAGGGCTATCATTTGAACATTTTTGTAGAGGTCTACCAGACAATGACTCATGCAAAATATCTAGGCCCTTGGCCTTGTGGTTTTGAAGAAAAAAGATTTTAAAACTGTTACTATAAACAAATAAGGAAAATCACATTACACCCTGGGGGCAATTATGAACCAAGGGCTATTATTTGAACAATCTTGGTAGAAGTCCAATACGGTATGCCTTATGCAAAATATCTACGCTCTACATTTAAAGCAGCATGCCTCCAGATTAGCCAAAATATTTCAAGAAAATCAATATTGAAAAAGATGCACTAAAACGTTAAGAAGGATAAACACGGTCAAAGTTATATTAAACATGTAATGTGCGGTTCAATACTGATTTTGCTGTATTCTATCACCATATTTTTTTCGCGTTAGTACGTATAAACAATAATTTGAAGAAATGCCATGACCTGGGGCGCTTAAGCTTAAATGCGGCCAATCAAATTAATATGAGAAAACTTGAAAAAAGACTACCTAAGAATGCTACAAAGTTTGGTGATCATCTATCAATTATTTCAGTAGGAAATGATGTTCAAAGGTTCTACCATTTTTAGCTTTAGTGGCCCCTATAAGGGGCCAATCAAATTATTATGAGCAAACTTGATATAAAACTACCAAAGAATGCTACAGACAAAGTTTGGTGATCATCCGCCAATTAGTTTTGTAGAAAATGTCTCAAGGTTTTTCTTTTTTTAACTCTAGAGACCCATAAAAGGGGCCAATCAAATTAATATGAGCAAACTTGATAAAAAAAGTCCCTAAGAATGCTACAGACAAAGTTTGGTGATCATCCATCAATTAGTTCTGTAGAAATAGACATTCAAAGGTATTTCTATTCTTAGCTTTTGCAGCCTCTGAAAGGGGCCAATCAAATATATATGAACAAACTTTATAAAAGACTACCTAAGAATGCTACCGACAAAGTTTGTTGACCATCCATCAATTAGTTCTGAAGAAATAGACGTTTAAAGGTAATTCTATTTTTAGCTTTAGTGGCCCCTAAAAGGGGCCAATCAAATTAATATGAGCATTCTTAACAAAAAAAAATACACAAGAATGCTACAGACAAAGTTTAGTGATCATCCATCAATTAGTTCTGTAGAAGATGTCTTAAGATTGTTTCTATTTTAAGCCCTAGAGACCCTTAAAAGGGGCCAATCAAATTAATATGAGCAAACACGATAAATGACTACCTAAGAATGCTACAGACAATGTTTGGTGATCATCCATCAATTATTTCTGTAGAAATAGACGTTTAAAGGTATTTCTATTTTTAACTTTAGCGGCGGCACCTAAAAGGGGCCAATCAAATAAATCGGAGCAAACCTGATAAAAAGCTACCCAAGAATGCTACAGACAAAATTTGGTTATCATCCATCTGTTTGTTCTGTAGTAGAAGATGTGCAAAGGTTTTTCTATTTTTAGCTCTGTTGAGCCCTAAAAGGGGCAAATTGAAATTACATGATCAAATTCAAGTGTGACTGTCATAAGGATGCTACAGACTAAATTTGAAGTAAATCTGCTCTACAGTTTCAGAGAAGAAGACGATTGTTGAGGCATGACGACGGACGCCAGAGCATCTCCCTTTGATACTTATAGCTAACCCTGTACCTTCAGTGAGCTAATAAGAAAGAACTGACTCCCGGGGCCTCAAAGACTGACACTAAGGGGCAAAATTTGAACAAATGTCGTAGATGACCTACAAATGATATCAAATTCAAAATATCTAAGCTCCTAGCCTTATACCTTCAGACAAAAAGATTTTTTATGTTTTTAATATATACATTTAAGGAAAACCTATGACAAGCCGGGACGGGGCAATTTTGCCCCTGAGGGCTATAATTTGATCAATCTTGGTAGAGTTCCACTACAAAATGCTTCATGCCAATATCTAACCTCTTATCTTTGTCAATTCAAAGGAGAAGAATTTTTAAGTTTTAACTTTACACTATTATTCACAAGGGCTATGATTTGAACACCTTTGGAAGAAGACCTATAGGTGAAGTAATACAACAAATATCTCACCTCTAGCCTTTTTCAATTCAGAGGAGAAGATTGTGCTAAAGTGAGCTAAAAATGTTTGATTTAATGCAATCCCAGCAAATAAACGAAGTTCCTCATCCTAACATTTACCATTCATTAGCAAATCTTCTGAAATACTTGATTCCGTAACACCTGTTTTACCTTTTCCCAATGATTTTAGTACACAAGACATTAAGACGCAGGGCAAGCATACCTCCCCCTGGGTATTTCTGTACACCTATATAGTATTGAAGCTTATGGTATGTGCTATCGATTGGTACTTGTTGTTTAGCCGAAACGTTTACCATGAATCCAATAGAATAAGTTGATTATCTTCCCTTGAATAATATTTTTTCTATATAAGTTTTATAAAATTCCATCAGATATCTTCTCTTTGACGGAGTAAGTTTGTGATCTAAACATTGTTTCGAGTTGTAAATATATGTTTTATGATTTATACAAATTAATGGCGTCCGCCATCTTGAAATGGCCGCCAATTATTGAACAAATATACAATTCATAACAATATTTAATGTGTTTATACCCATTTATAAATTGTTTGATGTAATTGTTAATTATATATGATATGCTTAGTGAACCTAACTCTATGCTAGGTAGAATTCTAAATAATCTGCTCTTGAATATTATTTCAATTTTATAGTGATATGAATCATAATTGTTTGGGGTCGATTTGAGCTGCCTTTAGAGTTTGATTTTAATTGAATTTCATGCCAATATTGAGTTTTTGTCCACTCTAGAAACTTAATATACTCTCACTTATATGAGAAACAATTTGAAAAGTTGGTAGTTGACTTCTCCGTTCCGTTCCTGCTTCTGTATACCCATATGACTATATTGATTTGTATAGCTTACCTGCACCACAATGACTATTTGACAGAAAAATAAGGGAGATTAATGTACTATATTTCGTTATCATTGTTACTCCCCTTTAAAAAACATAAAGTTACTTCCCCTATTTTCGTTGCGCCATAAGAAAATAAGGCAGACAACATAATAGTATTCTCCATTAAAATCGTTTGTTTTAGAGTGATTTTGTTGATTAAAGCTATTTTAAATGCAACACGGCATATGACAGCATAAAACACTTTTGGACATTGTCAGTCATACTCTCTGAGTTTGGAGTGGGAAACTGTGTAACAGCACTCTTGATCAGGACATTGTTCTCCCTTTGCAATTTCTGCAAAAGTAATTTGATAACACATTTGTGCTAGGACTATTTCCATTCAAATAACAACCCATACTGCACACGGAATTGTCATTCAAGAAAGAGAATAGCCGTAAGATGATGATGGTGACACTAAAATAGAACAAACATCCACTAATATATAAAATATACAGGCTACTAAGGCACACACTGTTAAATATAATCCTGAAGAATTGGCTGAATGCTTAATTACTGGGAAATAAGAACCGTTTATCAATACTTATAAGTTTCGACAAAGGAAATGTTTCGGGTTTTGCTGTTTCCTCTGACTGTCTCTCGTTCATGTTTACATGACAAGCAGATTGTTCCCCAGCTGGGCTGGCTGGATCTCTCCAACCTCTGAGTTGCAAGATCAAACATCCTCTACAGAAGAGTACATGCCTCCTATTAATGCCTAAAGTACAAAAAATGCCACTGTTCAGAAAATTCTAGAAATTTCAAGTGTTTAAAGAGCTGTAAACCATCAGTACACATTTGTGACCTTTGATTTGGCTGCTGCTAAAAGGCATATTCTATAGTACGGAAAATCCGACTAAGTACACATTTAGGGGCTTTTCATTTGCTAGGTTCATACCTAGGGGCGTTTGGCAAACGGCTTCGTGGAAGTGGTTTCTCAGAAATCCTGATAGAGTTGTGTAAATGTGTTAATGTTTTACCAGTTGAAGCTCTCGAAAGACTGCTCTTTGAAGAGTTTGCAGCAGCAGTGATCTAAATCCACAACCCTAGTGCATTGGAAGATATCAACCAAGCGTTAAATGTGCTAGCTGAGAATCAAAGACGTGAACCTTGAAGATGTGTTAGCTAATGATTCTGTCATTGAACTTTACAAGAGGCATCAAGATATCAAGGAAGACGTCAGAAAAGGTCATTTAGGGAAGACGGTACATTTTTGAATGGATTTATTGTTAAGATTTGGCTCGTTCTTCGTTTATTAAGAGCCACGAAGGAAAATGATCTTGACCTATACATATCAACATTATAAAATATGCTTCAGTTATTCCTTGCATATGATCATCAAAATAATGCAAAATATCTATCTGCATTTGTTGTTCTGTTGATAAATTGATTCAACACACCAGTGATCAAGAAAGCTTCTTCAAAATAACAGATTTAGTGTTATCAGATCCAATGTGCCTGGCTCCCATAATGATGTTAATATAACTATTGAGCAAATAATAAACAGACATGCAATGTCTCGTAGAGGCATAATAGGATTGATTCAGCAAAAACTTTGCTGCCTACTACAGATGGAGTCAAACACGACACTTGATAGCCAGCTATGTTGAGGCTACATTCCGCATGGTCGGCATATCATCAGCGGATTCTTCTACACTCATTGATACACGACCAGCGAATATAGCTGCATTTGAAAAACTCAAATTTGAAACTCAAAGAATCAATAACTAACTTTATGAATCCATTTGCAACAGATGAAAGGGATGCGTTGTTCTGTTTAAGTTCAGGGGCTCCTGGACCAGAGGAGATCGATAAGAGTTTGTTTGATGCCTACCGAAATGGACTTGAAGCACACAAAAAACTCGCCCAAGAATGTCTGGTTGATAAAACAGTTAGTTGTTATGCTCCACTGAAGAAGCAAAACTTAATAACCTTTGCCGATACAAAGAAAGGTAAATAAGTGACATAAACTCAGGACAATCTTGTCAAAGTTAAGGCAGCTGGCAATGTCTTCGTTCAGATTATTATGTTATCAGAAGAAAATGACATTATCCTTGAAAAGACACTAACGTACCTGCTTGGACTAGTTCCTTAGTCTCTAGCTACAGTAGATGGCTTATCAACAAAGACTGACAAGGCAAAAGTAATGCATGATCTCGAAGGCGATTATACAATAAACAGAGGCTTGGTAACAAAAACATAATATACATATATTTTCTAGCACTTTCTTGTCTCCCTTCAACGCTTTAAGACGCACTGAAAAGTGATACATACCTGATTAAAGGCAACAACACCAAAGTTCTGCAAGACTGGAAAGTTTTTGTAATAATAATAAAAATAAGAAACAATTGATAAGATTGATATTCGAGGAATTGTCGAAAAATAAATATGCAGGGAAATTGGACAGAAGGAGAATCTTGTGCTTGTGAAGAGACATGTGTATGACTTCAAAGTAAAGATGGAAAAGTAGAAGTAATACCGATTCCAGATGTACATACGTCTCAGGAGGAAGCCAATACCAGAATTATGCTACATATGCAACATGCGGCTGAAAATGATAACAAAGCAATAATTGTACGATCTCCTTATACGAATGTTATGGTATTACTTCTAATTTAAGCACAGTCTATCAACAGTTTAATACTAGTTGACACTGGTGTGGCTAATAATAGAAGACTGTTGAAAGTAAATATAATCATTGATAGACTAGGAGAAGATCTTTACAAAGCATTGATTAGGCTACATAGTTTCACCGGATGTGATACCACGAGCCCTTTTTTATGAGGAGAGAGAATATTAAAGCCGTTAACATTTTTGTAAATATCATATATGTATACATATAACCAGTTTTCAAGAGAATGGGCGAGTGTTGATATTCAAGAAGAAGATTTCAAAATTCTAGAACTGTTTGTTTGCATTTTATACCATGTATACAGGAAAGACAAATAAAGTAACATAAATAAGTTGTGCCTCGACATTTTCAGACAAACGTTTAGACTAAATGCAGACATGTACTTGCAATTACCTATGTTATAGACTTGCTATTAATACCACAATATCTTTCCACATTAAAGATGCATATTTTTAGATCAAATTACCACGTTTTTGTGTGGTGAAATGCCTTTTGTCAATTCCTAATTATTTCAAGTCCTGATGGATATGGGTGGAATACTGGTACAACAGGAGGTCTCACATATACATTGTTCTTGGACAGAGGGAAATGTACTACCACCAGAATAAATTGAAATAATAGCTAATAAAAATGCTAGTGAAGTGTTAGAAGATGATTAAAATGAAGAAGGTGATCTAGAGGAAATTGAGTTGGAAATTTATATTGGTGTCATTTTCGAAGAAGATTTCGAGTAATAATTAATATGTGACTAAAAAGCTGTATTGTAAAACATTGTAAATTAAACCAAATTGAACAACAAAAAGTATATTTAACTTCTATAATATTTATACAAACAACTTTTTTATAATTAAATGATGTTTTGCTTTTTTTTAAACAAAAACCACAAAGTTTATATTAAAATATTAATAAAATAACAGGAAAATGGCGGCCATTTTGAATTTAATGCTCATTTTGAAAAGTAATAACATCAATTAATTATGAAGTAAATCATTTTAGAGACCTTGTCTATGATCTAAACAAAAACCGACCATATAACAATTCATTTGGTTAAAAAATTAATGGTTCTTTCAATCAGACTGTTTATTTAGAAATTGTGACAGGGGCAGATAATTCACAGTGGCTTGTGACTTAATGGTAAACGTCTCAGTCAGACAACAAGTTGCAAATGTCTTCCTATATGTTTATCTTTAAAACTACATTGGTCCCATAAATTACCCAGAGGGGGTAACCTTTTCCATTTCTAGCTCATACTCTAGTACCTTTGTGTTCAACTGGTGAATTTAAGTTTCAATTAATTCCCCTATAAAAAGGCATTACAGTTTTTAAGAAAATAGATTCAAACAAAAATCTTTACATCACAAAGTAAGGGTAATAAGGATTCATACCTGAAGTACAAAATATTTCCGGAGTCGTGATGAAAACGTAAGAACAAATCCAGTCCATCCTTTTGATTAATTGGAACAGGTAATTTGGTGTTCATAGCAAATAGATGGTCCTTTTTAAGTATCTGTAATTTGTATTCAGTGTCGAAATAAAATTCATTTAATTATTGACAATGTTCTACTTGCATGCCATATACTTAAAACATATGTATAATACACGACTCTTGGTCAATTACTTTTTTAGCTACGTGCGAGACAAAAAGAGAACAGACAGACGGAAGGACAGACGGACGTATTACAAAATGCTACTTATGTGACTTATGTGACTTTTTCTTTGATCTTTATGGCCATTTTGTGGCACACAAGGGTTTAAAAAGACACACAAGTAAAAACGGAATGAAAAGGATCAAAGAGAATTCACTGTTACCCATTTTTCTCCAAGTACCTCTGGGTTCGTACGGTACCTACTTGTAATTTATTCTTCTAAGCAGTGTATGAATTTCAAATCATTATCTCAAATATATTTAACGCAACAAAGAAAGTCCACAAATTTTGGATAACCCCTCGTATATCATATAACATAAAGACTAGAAAAAGAGAAAACTGAAAAAGCCACTATTACGGTGACGTATTAAACACTTCTTCCTTGATTTCAAAACTTCAATTTTTTTTCCTGACGGTAAAAGTCATACAACTATGGTTGTCCATTTTATTAATAGATTAATAAAGTCTTCCTTCTTCACTTGCTCCTTATAACTGAAGAATATATATTTTTGCTTACTACCTCATCAAAACTATGAATCACAAACAAAATTTTCACTCGCCTGCCCATTTCTTTTCTGTAAAAAAATCTGACGGACAAGAAATAAATTCGCTGTGGTCTAACATAAAAACTGAATTTCAATTAATACCATAGTATTACCTTTACTCCTATGTCCTTCAATTTGACAATACTTCTTTCTAATGTTATCCATGTTGCTGGGTAATGTTCACCCCAATACCCTTGTTCTGAAGCCTTTTCTACAATATGTTGTTTCAGTTCCTCTATTTTATCATCCTTAATAGAGTTGTCGATTGAAATGCACTTTTTCAGAAGATTGAATGTTGCCTTATAATCGATAAGACATTTCCTCAAATTGTAGAAAAAAGTACCTATGGTTTCTTCTTTTGACTCCTGCTTATAAATATAATATATATAATAATATAATATGATTTTACCTAAAATATCAATATATCTAAACTCTTGAAACACTTGAAAATCTCTACTTTTTTATTTCAGTAGAATGTTGTTAATGTATAACACAAGTGCCATGTTGGCCATCAATCAGTCATCTGTGAACAATTACCAAAATATATCATATCTTTTAAATGTAAAAGTCTTTGTCATATATGACTGGACAATCATTACTGACAATATTTTTGGTTTAATTTAACCAGGCAATATGGCATGACAAATTTCTCAGTACTATTTCATGTAACCTCACATCAGGGTTTTAATATGCGTTTGTAAGATATAAATCTATCTTAACTGAGTGACCCGATTGGTATTGCCACATTTTGACTGCAAGGGCACTTAATTGATATAACCTTTAAAGACATTACCCGATAAATATGTTAAAAGTTTTCCTACATAAATCTGCGTAAACTACGTGACCCTTAGACATTTTATGCATAATGTGTTACCCAGGTAAGAATATCAGATATAACACTGCTGATTATTTTGACATAAGGTTCCTGTGACCTACTAATGCATTAAACTAGAACCATAAAATAACTTTTGTAGATAATTACATAGGCATCATTCCGGTGAAGTTTGGTTAAAATACACAATATGGTTTAGAACGTGTTGTAAATAAAAATGAACTTTTATCCATATCTTATCATTACAACAGATCCTAATCAAATATATGTTCACATTGTACTCAATTGAGCTGAATATAGTATAAATAATTACTTTTTGTTTTCTTTCACTATATTTTCTTCAGAATGTTTAAAAGCAACAGTGATCAGGTATAGTATTAATGAAATCAATTTTAAAGTTATGAAAAAGAGAGCTCCTTTGGAAGTTATTACCAAGTGATGTATTTTCCTACAAATGTAAGATTTATCTCCTACTTGAATTTACAAGAGCCCAGTTTGAGCAGGGTGATGCTACCCAAATAGGTTTTGGACACAGGGAAGTACACCTCTTGTAGTTTAGAGTTATGTCCCTGGAAAATGTTGAAAGTGCAATAATTCCAAAATAAGGCAAGGCAGAGTAACTGTTCTTTAGAAAATAGAGTTATGGTTCTTTGACACTGCACTCCAACTCAATGCCCTCTACCACTGTATGAAGTTTTAACAAATTATTTCCAAAGGTTTTCAAGTTATGCTCCGGACAAGACAAGGATCGGATAGACGGACAGACAGACAATCGGACAAGGTGGCGACTATATGTTCTCCCTTACGGGAGCATAATGTCCCTTGACCGAAACTTTCTTTAACCCTTATTACATGATACATATAACTTTTGCAAAGATCAAATTGGCAACATGCTAAATATCTAAGCTTTGTGTGTTCTATACAAGTTTATTTCATGAAAGTGACCCACGTGCGTAGCCCAATTTCAATCCCGGGGCAATATATATATTTCAAATATATTGATCTAAACAATAAGTGGCCTAGAGGGCAAGCCAAATTTTGATCACAGGCATAATCTATGTAGAATATATTAATCATTACAAGGTAACTATACATTTAATATCCAGGCATTGCATCTACTGAGTAGAAAAGTTTAGTAAAATTAAGCATGTTCCCTATATAGCTTAGGTTAAACTTGACCCCTATAAAGGGGCCTGTAATAACCCTCACTGAAAAGATTTATTTAATCTTGTAATGTCTACTAGGCAAATTTTCATGTTAAATATATTTCATCTTGCACACATAGTTTCTTACAACAAAAATAAATGTGTTCCATATAAATCAATGTACGCTCGTAACCCATGACAGAACAATTTTTCCTGAAGGAATATACTTTATGTAGCTTTGTAACAGGGACGTGCAAAGCGCAGGTTTGACCTTCCTCTGGTCAAGGTCAGACTAAGTTATTTTGTATCAATTTCAATAATTCTTGTCTGATTTTTATTTTTGAACCAATAGAAAGAAATTTAAAACATTTGGCAGAAATATTACTTATAATGAGATGATGTGTAGAACACAGGTGATTACTTGATTTATATAGAATTACTTAAGAATATAAATCTAGCGTTCATTGTGTGAAACTATGATGTCTAGAGCTTAGCTTATTAAGCATGTGGCATAACCTTATTGACTTTTAAAAATCTGATATGAATCATGTCCCTTGGTTAAATATTGGCCCCAGCCCCACTTAAATTATATAGACTTTCATTGGAAAAACACATCTGAGAATTATTGTGTGAAACTACAATGCCCAAAGCTTAGAACATAACTTTGTGGACTACAAAGCTTTGTATAGAAAAACACATTTAATTCTTATTTAGATGAAGCTACAGTGTTTAGAGTTTAGTGCCTTGTTGACCTGTACAACATTGTTTTTAATCATGTCTCTTGGGTCACTATTAGCTTTGCCCTTGAGGTCATTCAGTTGATATAATCATCTAATCAGTCTTATTTTGTGAAAATACAATTCCAAAACTCAAACTTGAAGGTTTAATAATATAATTTACAGTTGTAACCTGTTTCAATATGTCTGCAAAAGTTCCAACAAGTATAACTGGTGGACCATCACTGTCTTTTGTACCACAAAACTCGTAAATTGAAGTCAGCCAAAAGTCAGCAAATTCTGGTTATACAAACATATCCTCCATAATCAGTTTTTGTAACAGATGTAAACAAATAAAACATATCTTGCTTATATAATAAACAAAATCAAAATGAAAGAAAAAGAACATTACAAAAGTGAACTAATGACTTATTAAAAAAATTCAAGTTACTCCTAGTTAATTGACTTTATTAATATGTCTTACTCTTGCTCATTTGGGCGATGCATTAAAGTTTTTTAAAACTAAAACAATAAGCAACTTTTCATAGTATTGCAAGCAATCCATAAGTATCCTACCAGTTAGAACCCCAGCAACATTCTGAAGAACTATCGGCCATTCACTTATGTTTCAATTTTTCTCTTTTTTAAGAAAATTTGTTGGAAAAGTTCTTTAAAATTGATCACAGGAAACAGTTTTTATGAACAGACAGACTGAAAACATTCTAAAGTTATTTTTTAAACATCCCTGTTACCAAAATATAACATTTTTAAAAGCAACATTCTTAAAGAGGAGATAACTCTTGAAAACAAGATGCAAGATGTCATTCACGATGTGAGTGTAACAAAGAACAATTAGTAATGAACCTGTTCATAATGAATTTTTACTTTGATATTGAAGTAGAAGAAAGTTAAAAGAATGAATAAGAAAAATTCAAAGTTTAAGGAGGAGACAATTCTGAAAATAAGTATGCAAGAGTTATAAACGTTGTCATATTTTTATGATATGGGAGTTTGAAGTAAATCCTATGAGTAATAATGAAGAAGTTGGAGTAAAATATACCAATTTCTCGAAATAAATCTAAGTTCAAGGGGGACATAATTCTGGAAATAGGCTTGCAAGAGTATTGAACCTTCTCACAAATGATTTGAGTGATAATAAAAAACATATATATGAAGTTAAAAGAAGAAATGTTAAGAAATAAAGAAGTTATTAAAAAACATTTTTTTCATACAAGTTCAAGGGAGGCAATTCTGATAATTTTTGTGCTAGAGTTAAAACCTTGTCACATATGATGTGGTTGATGATCAGAAACTTATGGTTGAAGTTTGAAATAAATACCTTAAGAAATAAAGAACTTATAGAGAAAAAGTTTAAAAACAAGAATCATAAATCTTGACGAGGTTGCCAACGTTTGTTTAGTATGATAGCTCTCAATATACTCCCTATTGTCAAGATTAAAATTAACTACCATCTATCCATATTTTAAGTTTCATAAAAAATTTCAGTTTTATTTACTTATCACAAATATTGTTATATTTGCAATGTTTTAAGCCTATTTGTTGCCATGGCAACCATTTTTTTTCAAAATAGGAAGAAAAGAAAAAAAACATGCATAACCTCCATACTGAGAAAAAAGATATGCATAATTTCCAGACTGCCATCAACCCATATTTCAAGTTTCATAAAAATACTTCCAGTACTTTTTGCCTTATCACTGGATCCAGTTTATGTGTAAAGTTTGCCATATTTTCACCCTTTTTGTTGCCATAGCAACCAAAATTTTCAACATAGGAAGAAAAGAAAAAGACTTGCATAATCTTTATACTGCCTTCTATCCATATATCAAGTTTCATAAAAATATTTTCAGTACTTTTTGGGTTATAGTGGGATCCAATTTTGTGGACTGACGGACTGACAGACGGACGTTCTAACAGGAGAGTAATAATATGGCTACTCTATTGTTCTCTCTATTGTTCTTTTAAGCCACACAAAAGAAAAAAGCCACATAAAAGCATTACGGAATGAATGACATCAAAGAACTATTGTCCTTCTAGCAAAATAATTACTGTCCTGTGAGTGCAGACGGACAGACAGAGAGAGGATAAACTTAAAGTCCCCTCAGGTAGACCGGTGGGGGACTAACTACAGCTATCACTGAAGTAATTAATACCCCAACCAGCACCTTTTTGAATAAAAAGTTGACTGAAAAAAACTCAACCTATAGTAATTGAAGTATCAACTGTGTACAAAGAATTATTTCAATTAATTGTAATACAAACTGGGGTCTTCATGTAAGCTTATTGTTTGGAAACCTTTTCTCTTTCTCTATTTTTAGTAATGGTGACATTTACGCCAGGGAGTCCAAATACAATACCAATAAGCTTGCTATACACCAAGTTTGATTACAATATCTTACTCCTAACTCTAGTTATTTTCCGGAAACCGTTTTTCTATTTTTTGTATCGGCGACCTTGACACGAAGGGGTCCAAATGTGATACCAACCGGGCTGTCCACATAAGGTTGCTTTATACTAAGTTTGATTACGTTACCTCATTCAAGACTCTAGCTATCATCCGGAAACCATGATCGACGGATGGACGGACCAACCGACCGGCCCACCAACTGACAAATTGACTCCTATATACCCCCCTAAATACTTTTGTGAGGGTATAGTAATTTCAAGCATAGCTAAAACTGTTACCCTTTAGATGTTCATGAAAAAAGCATGCCTTCTCATACTATTTAAAGTTTAAAATGTATCTTAAATATTCCGGAGAATGTTTAGTATTTATTGCAATGAATAGTCAGCACCATACATTCGAGAATTCAATACCTTTTGATATCTGACAAATGAATACCTGATATTTTCCAATTTTTGTTACCATCTTCAACTATATCATTCACTTGTTTCGACATGTCAGTGACTAGCAGATATATCGCTCTTTTGGATAAAAAAACCTGGTGGGTATCATAAAATTCTGTCTGTCCTGCAAAGTCCCAAATTGAGACATCCGCTGTTTTTAAATCTCCAGTCGACATCTTCCTACCTTCATGTAGAGTATCCTAAGAATATTTGTAAAATTTGTAGTGAAACTTTAAATTGTTATAGTGAACACGACCATTTCTGAAAAGTATAGTACTGCTTTATATTTGTAAAGGTGGGACTTTCATTCCAATTTTTTGAACAATCTTCATACATGTCAATTATCAAAATTTTAGACATTGAACATTTTGTAGAAGAAAACTTCAAAAGATTTAACAATATGCCTTTCTGTCATCAATTACAGCTATTTAAGAGGCCGAAAATGTGCAATACATTTAAGCCCTTTAAAACGGTAACAATGTGCAAGATCGATAAAAACTGTAATAAATAAGATAATTAATATAAAACAGATAAATGTTTATGTGCACATATTGGGCATTTAAATGGTATTTACTGTGTAATGCAACAAAGGGTCAGGAATGGGTTAGTAAGAGAAAACAAGAACCGGTTGAACCAGGTGATGCTCCCGAATAGGTTTTGGACACAAGTAAGTATACCTCTTGTAGTATCAGAGTTATGTTACAGACTAAGTTCAAAGTGTAAAAAATGAACATTGGGCAATAATTCCAAATTAAGCAGGCAGAGTTAAGGTTCTTTTGCACTGCACTTCTATTTAATGAGATCAATCTACCTACAAAGTTCCATGTTGATACTTCTCCTGGTTTCAGAGTTATGTCCCGAACAATGCTAAAAGTGTAAAAATGAACAAAGGGCAATAACTCCAAAATAATGCAAGGCAAAGTTATGTTTTTTTTGCACTGCACTTCTACCCAATGCGATCTACCTACCTACAAAGTTTCATGTTAATATCTCTTATAGTTAAAGCGTTATGTCCTGGACAAAGTTCAAAGTGTAAAAATGACCAAAGGGCAATAACTCCTAAATAAAGCAAGGCAGGGTTATGGTTCTTTTGTACTACATATCTACCAAACGAGATCTATTTATCTACAAAGTTTCATTAAAGTTTTAGAGTTATGGCCCAGACAAAGTTCAAAGTGTAAAAATCAACAAAGGGCAATAACTCAAAATGAGGCAAGATAGAGTTATGGTTCTTTCGCACTGCACTTTTACCTTATAAGATATATTTACCTACAAACATTCATGTTGAAATCTCTTATAGTTTTAGAGGTATGTCCTGGACAAAGTTCAAAGTGTTAAACTGAACAAAGGTCAATAACTCCAAAATAAGCCAAGATAGAGTTATGGTTCCTTTGCACTACACTTCTACTCGATGAGATCTTTATACCTACACAGTTTCATGTTGATATCTCTTTTAGTTTTAGAATTATATCCCGGACAAAGTTCAAAGTGTTAAAATGAACAAAGGGAAATAACTCCAAAATTACCCAACGCTCCCCGAATAGGTTTTGGACACAAAACACAAATGTGATGACATTATAGAAACTGTTACAAGTCTCCAGAAACAAGAAATCCGTGTATACTTGTGTACAATTTGTCCAAGATCTGACGTAGACGTCGCGCATCTAAATGATGAAATTCGTGCAATATGTACGTCAACCAACGCGACTCTTATTGATGTGTACAAATCGTTCGTGTACGGAGATGGAGGAGTCGTTAAGCTGTTATTCCACCGTGATGGGATTCATCTTAATGAAACTGGATGTAGAACACTGGTGATGGCAATAAATCAAGTGCTTAACATCATTCCGCAAAAACGCTCGGTTTATGAGACGCATCTTTCTACACGTGCAATCGGAACGCCGCGCTCGGCACGTGTTACCGGAATGCCGCGATTTACACGTGCAAACGGAGGTAGTGACTATAAACACATAAGGGAGTCGGACAGGCACATGGATCGGCACCATCAGCTCTACGGCAGGATTCATTGCGACAACTGTGGACGTAATAATCACGTTACGGCTCAGTGCAGACTAACAAATGATGTTATAAATAGCAGACGACTCGATTACGGATGGAATCAACCCCCTCCCCTGGCCGACGAGATGGAAAATCTAAACTATATAGACATATGCATTATTCACATTAGGATATTTTTGACAGGCACTCACATGACACTATGTATAGCTCAGAAATTAGGTATGGGTTTTTAATTAGTTTAATTTATGATTGTAATTCATACAAATGTAATTGTTTTATGAAAATAACTTTAACAATTTATCTTACAAGTTTTATGAGGTTTGTAATATAAGTTACAGCGTTAGTCTTAAAAAATGCATGTGAGTCTTTTAAAGTACATTATCTATGTCTACATCGGAAACAGAAGAACAATATGATAAAGTAATATCAATTATATGCTATTCATTTTACCAATATCTAGGGATACTGGCATTTATAAGCGTTGTTAAATTATGCTGTAGCGTTCATACATACACATTAATTTTTAAACTGCTATCTGCTGCTCTCCTATGATGGAGGTCATAAAGAATCTATATATTTTATCGTTATTATCGATATAAATCGTGTTTTGTTGATAATTTATTTTTCAATACTTTTAATAGCTATTATAAAAGACAACTACGTAGTTTAGAATATAATATAAACAAGAATAAGCTTACTACTTTATATGGAAATGATGTTACAAATCAAACAATATCAACATTTTTGACTTTTGTTCTAAGGGCTTGCGGTTTGCATTCGTCAATATACAACATTTGATGCTAAAAATGAATGAAATCAGATATCATCTAGGAAAAATGAACAAACCAGATATCTCTGGTATTTGTGAAACATTTCTAAATGAAAATATTTATAATAATGATTTGAAAATAGAAAACTTTGTTTTTGAAAGAAAGGATAGAAATGGAAGAAACGGAGGGGGGTTGATAGTTTTCATAAATGAGAAAGTGCCCTACAAAACGTCGAAATGACCTAGAAAATAAAAATTTAGAATCTCTTTGGATATAGATAAACTACCCTAATACAAAAACGTTTCTAGTAAACTATGTATACCGCCCTCCAAAAGTACGCCAATCATGGATTGATGAATACGAACAGCAACTCGATGAAATTGATTCTAAATATTCTGAGTATTATATTCTAGGCGATGTAAATATTAATTTTATGCCTGATAAACTCAGAAACAAGTTCAATAATACAAAATGGTCTAATTTAATATCAAAATTTGGTCTTAAGCAATTCATTCAAACTCCAACAAGAACAACTAAAACTAGTGCAACAATTATTGATCATATTTATGGCAGTGTGAATAGTCATACACATGTCTGTAATATATTTGTATCAAATTTATCAATAAGTGATCACTTCCCTGTCTGTTTCATTAGAACAGTTAAGTCACGAGTTAAACGTGGTTTCCATAAGACAATGAAGTATAGATCATTCAAGACATTTAATGAACAATCTTTTCAGACTGATTTAGCTCGATCTTCTCTAGAATCTGTGGAGTATATTGTTGATCCAAATTTAGCTTTACAAACCTTTTTTTTCAATAGTAAAAGATATTATTACCAAACATGCTCCAATAAAAGAAAAGATAATTAAATTTGATGCACAGCCTAAATGGTTCACTGATGAAATTAAAGCAATGATATTTTTAAGAGATAAATATCACAAAAATGGAGATTTCGATAATTATAAATTATTACGAAATAAAATAAATTCAGAGATTAAGAAAAGCAAAAAAAAAATCTTCAATAATGCAGTAAATGAAAGAAAAAATCCAAAATATATTTGGCAAAATATTAATGATTTAACTAATTTAGGTAAAAAGGAAAATGTTATTATTCCCGAACGGCTCACTTTTGGCGATACTACATTTACTGATCATGCTAATATTATAAATGAATTGAACAAACATTTTGTAAACATTTCTAATATTGTCGAAAAAGTACAGTTATCTAACGACGAATTTAAAATATTGAAGGATCAGTTATATAATAAATTGAATTGGAAAGAATTCAAAATTGAAAGCATTTCTGCATTTGAAGTAAAAAAAACATTATTGATAAACTAGATGCGAATAAAGCCACTTGACTAGATGAACTAGGTCCAAAAATAATAAAATCGTGTGGTGACTTTGTGACCCCAATGATTGCTAGCATAATTAATAACAGTATTAGACAAGGAATATTTCCCGATGAATTAAAAAATGCCCGAGTTATTCCAATTTTCAAATCTGGACTGAAAGATGATCCGAGCAACTATCGACCTATTTCTATCTTGCCTACAATATCTAAGATTTTTGAACGTCACATAGTTAATCAGTTACAGCATTTTTTCCAAAAAACTAATATTTTACATAATAAACAGTCAGGATTTCGAAAGAATCATTCATGCAATACGGCCCTAATTCATTTGATAGACTCCTGGCTAAAATATGTTTATAGTGGCAAATATATAGGTACAGTATTTTTAGACCTGCAAAAGGCGTTTAATTTAGTTGACCATGAAATACTTTTATATAAACTCAAACTTTATCACTTTTCTGTCACATCATTAAAACTGTTTCATTCGTATCTGTCTAATCGTATGCAAATAATTCAAATTGGAGACTTAAAATCTGACGTACAATATGTTACCTCTTTTTATTAGGTCCTTTACTGTTTCTTCTTTATATAAATGATCTCCCAAATATTTGCGAGGATGTTAACATAGATTTATATGCTGATGATTCCACGTTGCATAAATCTGGAGATGACATATCAGTTATAGAGGAAAAACTACAATATAGCCTTAATATGATTATTAAGTGGTGTAAAATATATAATATGCTTTTACACCCTAAAAAATCTAAAAGTATGCTGGTAGGTAGTAGACAAAAGCTAAAGATTGCAAAAGCATTAAATTTGAAAATTAACGACTCAACTCTTGACAATGTAGAATCACAAAAACTACTTGGTATTTATGTTGAAAATACACTCAATTGGCATTGTCAGGTAAATGATGTGTGTAAAAAATTGAACTCTAAAGTAAATTGATTTAGGCGTATAAAGTACTTTTTAAATAAGGAATCTCGCATTCTTTTTTATAATGCATACCTTCTTCCTATTTTTGATTATTGTTGTAATATAGGGAAAAGAAAACAAAAATATATATGCCAAAAATACAAAATACAAACACGAATTTGCAAAATTATTCTAGACCTTCCAATGAGAAACCAATCAGAAAACTTATACAAAAGATTAAAAATATTGCCTTTCAAGAAAAGATGTATTTTTCACACCGGTGTCCAAGTATATAAAGCACTGAATAATATGTCCCCTCAATATATCCGAGACTTACTTACCATATCTAATAATCAAAAGTATAATCTAAGATCGATATCTCACGGAAATTTAATTTCGTCTTACAAACCACGTACTAATTATTGTAATGACACATTTCAATTTAATGCCATGGTTATTTGGAATTCCCTACCACTGACTATAAGAAGAAAAACAAAATTGTCAATATTTAAGAATAGTTTCAAGAAATACTTATTTAATCAACTTTAGCACGGTCCGTATGTATTATATATTACGCTCTTTATATTCGTACATGTGTTTTTTATTATTATGTTTTCTAATAAGGGGTGTCTGTCTTAGTTTCAAGTTTTTTGACTGTGTTAATTTTGTAAGTTAATTTTACTTTTTAAATTGCAGATTAAAATGATTCACTGATGAAAGTATTATGTTTCATGATAAATAAAATGAATTGTATGAATGTTCAGTATATGTGTTAATATATGTTAAAATTGTGATAACATTTAATCATTTCTTTTACATGTTATATTTTCTTTGATTGGTATGTGTTCTTTTGAGTGTGTGTTTTTATTTTTTTTATGTTAGAAGGCCGCATTGTAAATAAGATGTTGCAACCTGTATATGTCTTAATGTGTTACCTTCGTTAAATAAAGTTATTATTATTATATTATTATTATTATTATTATAATAACGCTTCAAGGTCAAATACTTTTTGAGCTACCAGCAACACAAAATGAGAACGGACGGACAAGAACAAATTTATATTCACCCGCCCCATATATAGGGGGGGGGCATAAAAATAAACAAAAGGAATTATGGTTCTTTTGCACTGCACTTCTTCTCAATGAGATATATCTACATACAAAGTTTTATGTTGATATATGTGATAGTTTTAAAGTTATGTCCCAGAAAAAGTTTAAAGTGTAAAAAATGAACAAAGGGCAATAACTTCAAAATAAGACAAGATATAGTTATGCTCCTTTTGCACTGCACTTTTACTCAATGACATCTATATACAAACAAAGTTTCATGTTGATACCGCTTGTTGTTTCAACTTATGTCCCGGACAAGTCTAGCGGACGGACGAACAGACAGAGGGACGGAATGACGGCAATTATATGCTCACTCTCGGGGAGCATAAAAACTGCTTGTAATACAAGTAATGCGCAAGTATAGGTCAAATAAAATCAAAAGTAGAACTGTTACTTTGCAAAAAAGACCCCATACATATTTTGAAGTCATATCAAAATTGGAACCCTCATCTACTGATAGACAAAGCAAAATATGCCTTCTCAGGGACAAAAACTATGTCCTTTGGTATCAAACAACTGAGAATTGACAAACTGACGACAATCTTAACAAGTCATATTATCACTGTGTGCACTTTCAAAAGATGACCTCACATTGAAATCAAAAGTTACACAATGTACATTACAATCTTTTACAAATCATCAATTGAAACATGTGAGAAAAACGCTCACAACAAATGCATTTCTTACATTAGTAACTTAAAGAATTATCATACCCAAAAAATTCCTATTATTTACTATAACAGTTTGTTAAGCATACCTGCAAATCCTTAACAATCTCACTATATTTTGTTTCATTTGTAGTAAAAGCTTTCTCTTCATCTTTGACAACTTTTTCGTTAGCTGAAAGTTAGAGGAAAATGGTGAAATAAGATTTTGAAAAGTGAAGTAGTTCTTCAAGAAAAAAAAACTCAAGCACTAAGTCAAACACTTAATATTTGTAATATTGTTTGATCCCACCCCTCCTGAAGCTTTACATCTCACAAACACTGTCAAGGTCATTTGGCGACTTTCCTGCCTAAAAATTGCTTAAATTCAGGCCAGACAAGAATGCATTTGTGTAAAAATGCTATTACACCACATTAATATAACAGAAGTAGATTTTTTTTACTACACAATTGAATTTTGCCAAGATAAAGTTATAGTCCGGACCTATACTCTCTCATTTGGAACATTTAAAATATAAGTGTGATCATGACCTTTGAAAATAGACGTGGTTTTTGGACGTGACATAATATTGTCATGTGAAAGACATTCATGTCAAGTTATTTCAAAATTCCACAATCGTGACAAGATTGTTGTGTAAGTGGGGATGCACTGACTGTCAACGGACATGAATCTTAGCCATAATACATCGTTCTGAAGTGTTATACATTTGTGCCAAATTATTATGAAAATTATTCCATGCATGACAAAGTTACAGTCCGGATATGAATGTGTATCTTTAAACTCTAATCGAGAGAATGAGTGCCTTCAAACTATAAGTGTGACCTTGACATTGAAGGAAGGGACAAGGGTCTGAGCCATGACATGTTGTCTTGATGTGGTAGACATTTATGATTAGATATTTGAAAATTATTTGATGCGTGACAAAGTAACAGTCTAGACACGAATGTGTGTACCTATAAACCATAATTGTGATAAAGTAAACTTCAAGAGGGAATTGTGACCCTGATCTATGAGGTAGGGATGTGATTCGTGGACGCCACACATCTTCTCGATGTGGTAGACATTTATGCCAAGTTATTAAAAAATGGGTCAATGACAGAAAAGGCCGGGTTGCATTTGTACACCAAATATCATGAGGCTGTGATATTACGAAAAAAAATTTCCATTGACCCATTAATGACGAAAATTTAATTCAGTAGGTTAACAGGAAGTGGACTAGCTACACACCTAAAATCGAATCCCACAGTATGGGACCATGTGTCAATGCTGTATGCATAATATCAAGAGGCATTGATTAGTAGTTTCTGAGAAAAATGTTACGAAAATTTCCTACCATTGACCATTAATGTGAACAGGAAGTGGATAAGCTGCAGACTTGAAATCAAATCCAACAGTATGGGACCATGTGTCAATGCTGCATGCCAAATATCAAGAGGCTGTGATAAGTAGTTGCTGAGAAAACTGTTACAAAGATTTCCTACCATTTACCATTAATGTCAAAAAATCTAACTAATTTAACTAAGTGGATAAACAGGAAGTGGATGAGTGACAGACCTGAAATCAAATCCCACGGTATGGGACAATGTGTCAATGCTGTATGCAAAATATCAAGAGACTGTGATAAGTATTTGCTGAGAAAGCTGTTACGAAAATTTCCTAGCATTGACCATTAATGTCGAAAAATCTAACTAATTTAACTAAGTAGATAAACAGGAAGTGGATGAGCGACAGACCTGAAATCAAATCCCACAGTATGGGACCATGTGTCAATGCTGTATGCCAAATATCAAGAGGCTGTGATAAGTAGTTGCTGAGAAAACTGTTACGAAAATTTCCTACCATTGACCATTAATGTCAAAAAATCTAACTAATTTAACTAAGTGGATAAACAGGAAGTGGATGAGCGACAGACCTGAAATCAAATCCCACGGTATGGGACAATGTGTCAATGCTGTATGCCAAATATCAAGAGACTGTGATAAGTAGTTGCTGAGAAAACTGTTACGAAAGTTTTTTTTCCCCGCCCAGCCGCCGCCCGCCCGGACGCCCGCCCGCCGCCCGCCCGGACGCCCGCCCGCCGCCCAACATTCACCATTCTATAACCCGGGTTGCACCAGTGCAACCCGGCCAAAAATTCTTCAATGCATGACAAAGTTACAGCCCGAACACGATTGTGTGTACGTATTAATTCTAATTGTGGAAATATGAAACTTTTAAGTAAGTGTGACCTTGACCTTTGAGGTAGGGACGTGATTTTCATGATGCGGTAAACATCTATGCTAAGTTATTCTAAAATCCTTCAATGCATGACAAAGTTACAGCCCGGACACAATTGTGTGTACCTTTTAATTGTCGAAATTTCAACTTGACCTTTGAGGTAGGGAAGTAATTGTTTGACGCGACACATCATCTTGATGTGGTAGACATTTATTTATTTCTGGTTATTTTAAAATACTTCAATGCATGACCTAGAATCATCAAAACCAACTTTCAGACCAATTTACAGGATATTTGGATCAAAACAGTAGCCACTAGAGTGTTAACAAGAATTTTCTATTTTTAGCTTCTGTGACCTAGTTTTTCATCCGATATGACCCATGTTCAAACTCATCCGAGCAATTACCTAGACAAGCATCCTGACCAAGTTTGATGACAATTGAGTAAAAATGTGACCACTAGAGTGTTAACAAGGTTTTTCCATATTTGGGCATATGACCTTGTTTTTGACCACATGTGACCATATTCAAACGTGACCTAGAAATCATCAAAACAAAATCAAAACAAAGTCAAAAATGTGACCACTAGAGTGTTAACAAGGTTTTTCTATTTTAACACTTGTGACCTAGTTTTTCAGCTGAGATGACCCATGTTCAAACTCATTCCAGCAATTACCTAGACAAGCATCCTGACCAAGTTTGATGATAATTGACACAAAAATCTGACCACTAGAGTGTTAACAAGGTTTTTTTATTTTTAGTCCCAGTGACGTAGTGTTTCATCCGAAATAACCCATGTTCGAACTCGTTTGAGCAATAACCTAGACAAACATCCTGACCAAATTTGATGATGATTGAGTCAAAAATGTGACCACTAGAGTATAAACAAGGTTTTTCTATTTTTAGCTCCTATGACCTAATTTTTCATCCGAAAAGACCTATGTTGGACCCATTCGAGCTATTACCTAGACAAGCATCCTGACAAAGTTTGATGATGATTGAGGTAAGAATGTGACCGCTAGAGGGTTTTACAATATTTTTCTATTCTTAGCTCCTGTGACCTAGTTTTTCATCCGAGATTTATTTATTTCTGGTTATTTTAAAATACTTCAATGCATGACCTAGAATCATCAAAACCAACTTTCAAACCAATTTACAGGATATTTGGATCAAAACAGTAGCCACTCGGGTGTTTACAAGAATTTTCTATTTTTAGCTCCCGTGACCTAGTTTTTCATCCGATATGACCCATGTTGAAACTCATCCGAGCTATTACCTAGAAAAGCATTCTGACAAAGTTTAATGATGATTTAGGCAAAAATGTGACCGTTAGAGTGTTAACGAACAAGTGTGGCGACATAACTGCCTCCTTTTCGACAGAGCTGTCTCCAAGAACAAATATCCTATATTTTCTTTTATTAACTAATATTTTGATATGATTTCAATCTTATTTTATTTCTAGACTTGATACTACTTGAATCATGTTTGTTTTTATTAGATGAAAATTGGAGAAAAAAATAATCCGTTTCATGATGAAACGGTCCATTTCAACGCTGAATACGCTAAGTGGGAAACGCCGCCACAACTTCATTTCAAACACAAGTATTACAACTTTAAGTTTTCTGGAAACTATCATCAAATCTACATCGCATAGCAATCTCCAAATTTTGATATTTGGTGTAGAATTAACAAAATATGTCAAAAATGAAAACACCTGAAACCTGATTTTAGCGGCATGCACTAGCTCGGAAGTAGAAATAGAGCGATAAACCATATATCTCCGAAAGAGGTAGCTCTATCATTTTCCAGGCATGAGTAGGCCATACTGATTTTACCAAAGCACAGTTCCGCCACCGCATTGTTCCTGGGCAGACTGTCAAGCAATTTGCCAATATTACCAGGATTCAATACAGGGTTAGCCAATTCACAATATATCATTCAGTATATTGTATGTACTACATATCTTTACATATGTTGATAACCTAATGTTATGTAATTGTTATGAATGTAATGAATAATGTTATAATATTTGCTTTATCACACAATTATGAATACCTCCACCATTTTCCAATGAGCCCTCTTCAATGGTATCATCCTTAACGTCTGTTTTCCTCAAATTAGATCCAGTAGAGGTTGCAGATGGCTTTAAAGGTTCTACTAAACGTTGAATCAATGCATTTGTTGGTTTTTTATCTGAAAGAAGAACAAGAGCATCAGCCAGGTGGGGGCAGTGCTTGATTTTTTAATTATTTTCAAAAAACAAACAAATTAAAGGTTTAAATATATTTTTAAAAAGAGCATAAAATATTTTTTTTTCCTTTTTATATTCTTAAAAGTACATGTACACTTGAATTATGAATTGTTTTTAAAATGTAATTTTTTTTATCTGAAACTGAGCACATGGTTAAAATTTTAAATCTGCATGTCAAAGAACATAAAGGCAGGTTATTTTAAAATATCTATATCAGCTGATATCACAATTCAATTTTACATATAAAACTGTGCACAATTGGTCTAATTAACATTGTTATAGGAAAACAAGACGGCCATGATGGCCCTTAATTGCTCACCTGAGTCAGAATACTTGATAATGTTGTTTGTTTTAAAGTTGATTTTTTTATTGTTACTATATGCATATAATGAAAATCAATTGGCGCGGACCAATATTGACCCCAGTGCCTTTTTTAAACAAATTGGTAGATACTCACTAGATGTACATGTTACATGCCATACATATAAGCTCTATGTTTTTGTGTTTTCTTTTAAAAAAGAGCCTTTTTTGTTTATATAAATATATGTAGGAAAATCAAAGACCCACCCCAGGGCAGGGCCATTTTTTTTCCTTAGCGCTTTTATTTGGACAACTTGGTAGACACTCACTAAAAGATGTCTCATGTTTAACCCTTTACCTCATATAGACGTGTTTTTACGGTTTTTTCGACCCCCTCCCTCCTTTTTAGGCCTCAAACAGTGAAATATTACCATATTTAGGCCCCAAATACTGTTTTTCGTTTGGGAAACGTTGTTAAAAAAGAGATAACTTTTTTCGGCGCCGCTACCTATCAAAAAAGTACATCAGGGGGTTGCCAGATGTTTCGAGGGTCTGAAGGAGGTGACAGCCCCCCTCATGGCCAAGAAAGTTGTTGACGTTTTAAAAGGCTAAAATGGCATCAGGTCGATCGTAAGGTAACGTGTAACCAACGTTGTAAAGCCTTTTACTCCATCTCAACCCATTGAGAATTTGCAGCACTTTGAAATTAGTTTTGATGGAAAAAATAATGCAAATAGTGATTTTTGGCAATACTGACACGCCCCTCCCCCCATTGCCATGGTAACAGGAAATTTAAGATTGAGCATGCTGTTACAGAGGCTATGGTCCATACAACATTTGTGTAAAGTTTTGTCAATATTGAAGCATTTGTCATAGTTTCATAACAGTTTGAACTTGTAACAGGAGGCTTTTATATGAAAACGGCCATTTTTAACAATATGCTCATGAGGTAAAGGGTTAATATCTAAGCTCTAGCTCTTTAGGTTTTTAAAAGCAGCCTCTTTTGCAATTTTAACTATAAACATATCAGAAAAATCAATATCCACCGTACGTGGTCAATTTTGACCCCGGGACTTTCATTTGAACAAACTTGAAAAAGAAAGAACTGCCGGACGTTGACAGGTGCGATGCGGTGTAGGACATAGCTGAACAGCTATCTCTCTCTTATTATGACGTGCAACGCATTCTAACAGAAGAGCTCAACATGTCAAAAGTTGCTGCTCGCTGTGTACCCTACATTCTGACGAAAGTCGACAGACAGAAGCGCGTGCAGTGTTCTCGAGAATTTCTTAAGCGTTACTAGGCACATAGTGGAATTTTTTAGACGGGATCATGTCCACGACGAGACATAGCTTTACTATCACGATCCCGAATCCAAACACCAGTCTTCTATTTGAAAGTCACCTGACACACCTCCACCCAAAACGGCTCGAGTTTAGCGAAATGCCAAGAAGAAAATGTATATACTAGTATACTTCATTGATGGGCATGGGCTCCTGCTACAACACAAGGTGCGAGAGGGATCAAACGTAAATGCGGAATATTATTCAAAGGTCAAAATAAAAGAATATAACTGTTACTATTTTGTTTTGCTTTTTTTTTCTATAAATACGTGTAGAGCTAGCTAGTTCTAGTATTTAATAAATATTGTTTATTTAATTGTACAAAATGCATTTTTAAATATTGCCGTAATGCAGTCGTTGTGCGTTATCAACTTTCAGGTGTTGCATCGAGACTTGGTACAAGCCTTGCGCCAGAAGCGACCTCAGCTAGACCTGGACAATGTTGTTCTACACCATGATAATGCACCCGCACACCGGGCTCACGACACAGAACTGGACATTAGCCTGCTTGGGTTCAGTCTACTGCCACACCCACTGTACAGACCGGACTTGGCTCCATTAGGGGCCAACGATTTGAATCGTCATTAGAGCTACGTTCCAGGACAAGAGAGATAGTTTCGTTGTTCAGTTCAGACTGGTTTAAATGACTTTTGACCAATGGATACACAGGCATAAGAAATGTGTTGCCACCGGGGGTAATTATGTTGAAAAAGTAAACCAGACATGAGACTTTGACGTTTAGGTGACATCAGCGTTTTACAACGTCGCATCGGCGTGTTTCAAGTTTAGGATAGTGTAGTGTTTTTATTTAAACAAACTTAATTGTTCAATCTATCTCAACAATTTATTTGACTTTTTGTCAGTCCATAGTAAAAGTATTTCGTAATTTATTTGTTAGTTTGTCTTTTAATGTTTAAGAAATAATACAATTCCACGAATTTATCGACCAGCCCTCGTATTAAAATGAAAGACAAGAGATTGCAAAAAGAAAATATTTATATTGTAATTTCATATGCATTCCCGTTTTCTTTCCTTAAATTCTTGTCCCGACAAGTTCAGGTTAGACAGGTTCCACTGTACTAGATATGTTATATCTTTACATATGTTGATAACCTATTGTTATATTTAAATGGTAATGAATGTATTGAATTGTTTTACACAAATATCAATACCTCCATCATTTTCAAATGGGTCCTCTTCAATGGTATCATCCTTTACGTCTGTTTTCCTCAAATTAGATCCAGTAGAGGTTGCAGATTGCTTTAAAAGTTCTACTATACGTTGACTCGGTGCATTTGTTGGATTTTTATCTGAAGAAGAACAAGAGCATCACCCAGGTTGGGGCAATCCTTGATTGTTTAATTATTTTCAAAAGGAAAACAAATAAAAGGTTTAACTATTTTTTTAAAAAGAGCATAATAAAAGAAAAATGTTTTTCCTTTTTATATTCTCATAAGTACATGTACACTTGTTTTATGAATTATGAATTGTTTTTAAAATGTTCAATTTTACATCTGAAACTGAGCAAATTTTAGAAAGAGGCGTCAGTGGCCGATCGGTTAAGGTCGTTGACTTCAAACCACTTGTCCCTCACCGCTTTGAGTTCGAATCCCAACAGGGACCTTGGATAATTTATTGATTGATTGATTGATTATCAAATTTCAGCCAATTATAGCATAACATTCAAGGTAAATTCAAATTTGATATATATGCAGGTCCTGATCTAAAATTTCTTTTGACTAAATATGAAGTAAACCATTTATAGATAACAAAGTTACAGTTAGTAATAAGAAAAAAGAGGGATTATCATCAATTAGACTTTGACAGTCATTGTCTTAAGGTCACCTTTAAATTAGCAAGTCATTTTTGTTTTGTAGCAAGTCATTTTTGAACATGTATAAATATAATCCAGACATAAACAAGAGCTATCACTAAATGTGTTGAAAACCCCCACCAGCAACCTTGATTTTTTTGAAAACAAAGGCAAGTTTGAAGCAAAATTTGAACTCACCCATTAACCTTTTCCCTCATATAGACGTGTTTTGACGGCTTTTCCCTCTCTATTTTTGAAGCCTAAAACAGTGAATTAATGCCCCAAACACTTTTTTTCGTTTGAGAAATGTTGTTAAAAAAGTGACCACTTTTTCGGCAAAGCCTCACCCCCATCAAATGGTACATCAGGGCTTTGCCAGAAGGGGGATGTGCCCCCTTCTGTTTAGGGGGTTTGAAGGTTGGCGGTAGTCCCCCTCATCGCCAAGAACATTTTGGACATGTGACAAGATAAAAATGGCCTTTAGGTCGATCTAAGGGTAATTAGTAACCGACGCTGAAAAGCCTTTTACTGTATCTCAATTCACTGAGAAGTTGCAGCACTTTGAAATCAGTTTCGATAAAAAAAAACAATGTAAAATAATGATTTTGGCAATTTTGAGATGTCCCCTATTACCATGGTAACAGGAAATTTACGATTGAGCATGCTGTTACAGAGAATATGGTCTAGTCAACATTTGTGCCAAGTTTCATCAGTATTGAAACATTCTTCATTTTTTATAGCAGTTTTAACTTGTAACAGGAGGCCATTTTTTCAAATGTGCTCATGGGGTAAAAGGTTAATTTATGAAGTATAAACAAGTAGTTCTTAACTCATTTTATCCTATACAACAGCCACCTAAAGATCTTTGCACTACCGGAAATGTGGCAAATTTCTTTACAATTTATACTTGCCCGAAGCGATTTAAAACCATTTGCATGATATATTTAAGATAAATTAGGTTTAATTTACTTCATGTTAATATGCTATTCTTATTTTTTTATAAAAAAACTTATTTTAAAAAATTATGGAAACTGGAAAAAGAATCCGATTGGAATCAACCCTAACTGGATCTTTTTTCCATTTGCAGTTTTTTCCAATGTTTTTTTTTAAAATAAATCCTATTGGAATTAATTCCGATTAAAAAGAAATATAAATTGATCCAATTGGAATTTGTAAAATACATATATAAATTTATTTAAGGTAGTTTTATGTTTTTCGAGACTAAATAAAGACAAAATGTTTGCCAAAACGTGTTAGGGCCGATTTTTGCACAGGGACAATTTGGGGCAATATGAAACTCCTGATGATTTAGCTGACGATATAGAAGATATAGGTAACTGCTGAACAGTTAAATTAAGAAGGATTATCGAAAACTGCTGACCAGTAAGATAATGAAGGATAAACACTGAAGGTGTTAAATAGGTGTCAATGATATAAATAGCCATTGGTGCTATTCTTTAAAATTCAAATAATGTTGTCATAATATGGTGGGCTTACATAGAAAAAGAATATCATAATTTGTTTCAAATATTTATATAATACTATGCATTATATCTAAATATATACATAATTATATGGTTATGTACATTATAACAATTTATAATGATCATTTCGTATCTGAAATAAAATTGCATGAACAATAACTGGATTTTATCCTTTACATCAAATGTAATGAGCCGGAAAAATAACTATTTAATGGAATAACTGCACATTCTATTAATTTTTTTTCTTTGTTAACTATTCTTTAGAAACTCTGACTGGAAAATAAATGAAAACTTCCTCGTTATCTGTAAGTTCGCACCTACAAAATACACAATATCGAGATCTACTTGCCCCTAGGTTATAACAATTTGATTTAAAGACATTTCACACGTGTCATTCTTTATTTGTCAATTATAAACGCAGATGCACTCATATGGCAGCTGACAAAATACAATAAACCGAACAGTCCAAAATATGTTATCAAATATTGAAGTGAAAATGCTGACAAGTTAGATACATAGAGAATAATGTTACTTTGACATGAAATCGTTATTCATTTTATAATGTCTGCAAAGTTAATGTATTGCATAAATCATGCCGATAATTGAATTTAGTAAAACCTGCTGACAAATTGAATGTTAAATTCAAATTGATTTAGGCCATTAAACTCTTCTTATTCTATATGGTCAGCAAATTTAACGCTCTTTACATTCAGGCGAGGAAATGCTGACCAGTTAATCATATAATGAAATTGCTGACCAGTTAGAAATATAGAGAAAATGATATTTTTTGCCGTGAAATTGTTATTCATGTTAAAATGTGTGCATATATTGTATAAAATCATGTCGACCATTTAATTTAGTAAAAACTGCTGACTAATTAAATATTAATTCAGATTGATTAAAGCTGTTGAACTCTTTTTCTATATGGTCAGCAAATTTAACGCACTTAACATTCAGGCGAGAAAATGCTGACCCATTAAACATAGGGTGAAAATGCTGACCAGTCAGATATACAAATGTATAGAGAAAAATGATATGTTGCCGTGAAATTGTTATTCATTTTATAATGACTGCAAATATAATATATCGTTTAATATCATGCCGGCCATTGAATTCATTAAAAAAACTGCTGACGAATTAAACATATACTCAAAATGATTAAAGCCATTATTCTCTTCTTATTTTATATGGTCAGCAAATTTAACGCTCATTCAGGCGAGTTAATGCTGACCAGAAAAATATATAGAGGAAAATGATATTTTGCCGTGAAATTGTTATTCATTTTATAATGTCTGCAAAGTTTGTAAACCACTGAATTTAGTAAAACTAGAAATGTGTGTTCATGTCACGGATGCCCCCGCAAGCAGCCAAAATTTCAGATGTTTTTTATAATATTTAGTTACAAATTTGTTTGCACAAACTTTTTTTTTTTCAATTTAAGTTCACAGCCCTTAAAACTATTCAATGTTAACACAAACCATTTTTAAACAGAGTTCAAGGCACTGAAACTATTCAATGTTAACCTTTTGTAAATTGCATATTGCATATTTGAAGTCACAATAATGGCTGCATACATTTCCACAAATGTATGAGTGGTGAAATTAAAAATTCAAATTATTTCCAACATTCACGAGAGATAACTTTGTCATTAACTCATTGAACCACGATCAAATTAAACTTAAACTGCTTATTCCTAAGATGTATCTATATGTTTAATTTGAGTTGAATGTGTACAACCATTGAGAAGATAATGAATGGAAACTAAAAATTCTGATTTTTTTAAAGATCAAGAGGGATAACTCTGTCAGCTATCATCAAACCATGACCAAATTCAAACTTGACCAGTGTATTCGTTTGACATATCCATATGTTAAATTTGAGTTGAATATGTACAACTGTTGGGGAGATAATGAACACAAACTGAAAATTTCTGAATTTTTTCAAAAGTTAAATGGGCATTACCCTGCCAAAAATCATTGAACAATCACCAAATCTATCTTGACCTGCGCATTCCTTTGTCGTATCCATTTGCCAAATTTGAGTTGAATGTGTTATACTGTTGGGGCGATAATGAACGGAAACTGAAAATTTCATTTTTTCAAAGTGAAAGGGGCATGAAGTTGCGTTGAATGTGTAATACTGTTGGGAAGATAATGAACGGAAACTGAATATTTCATATTATTTTCAAAGTGACGGGGCATATCTTTTCTCCAACCATAATCAAATTAAACTTGACCTTCGCATCACTTTGTCGTAGCTATATGTCAAATTTGAGTTGAATGTGTAAAACCGTTAGGGCGATAATGAACGGAAACTGAAAATTTCATCAAGGACAGAAGACTGTCAAAAATCATCGGACCATAACCAAATTAAAACTTGACCTGCATTTTCGTATGATATATCCATATGTCAAATTTGAATTGAGTGTGTGTAACTGTTACTAAGATTATGAATGGAAAGTGATGATGACGGAATAACGGAAGGATGGAAGGACGGAGGGACGGAATGACGGAACAGGGTAACACTATATGCCTCATCCATTTTATGGCAGAGCATAAAATGCTGATCAATTAAATATTAATTCATATTTGTTAAAGCTGTAAAACTCTTCTTATTCATATGGTCAGAAATTTAAAGCTCATTCAGGCAAGAAAATGTTGACAAGATAAATATATAGTGAAAATGATGCTGATCCCACCAGTAACTTGACCTGCGAAAGCCGAACAAGATTCTCTATTTATAGCTCAGCCGGTCATTTTGTGCAGCGAAGCGGAATGTGCCAGTGATATGCACAACTAAAGAAGGTACTGATCATTTAAGCTCTGGTGGCCATTTTGAGCAGCAAATCAGAACATGCCCGTTATGTGCGTGCACAACTAGGGATGGTACTGATCATTCCTGTCAAATTTGCTTGAAATCTCACCAGTAGTTTAACCGGTGAAGGCTGGACAATTTTTTTTATTTTTAGCTTTGGCGGCTATTTTGTGCAGGTGACGTGCAAAACTACGGATGGTACTGATCACTCCTATAACAATTGCTTGAAATCCCACCAGTAGTTTGACCTATGAAGGTTGAACAAGATTTTTCTTATTTTAGTTCTGGCGGCAATTTTGTGTAGTGAAGCAATACATGCAGGTGATCTGCATAACTATAGATGGTACTGATAATTCCTGTAAAGTTTGGTTTAAATCCAACCAGTAGTTTGACCTGTGAAGGCTGGACAAGATTTTTCTTTTTTAGCTCTGGCGGCCATTTTGAGCAGCGAAGCGGAAAGTGCCGGTGATGTGCACAACTAGAAATGATTCTGATCACTCCTTAAAAGTTTGGTTAAAATCCCACCAGTTGTTTGACCTGTGAATGGCGGACAAGCTTAATGCGGACAGGCGGACAACCGGACGGACGGATGGACTGAAGGACAGACAGACAGCGATTGCAAAAAATTTTGGGAGACACAATGACTCATTTGTCAACACAATTTAAAGGAAAAAATGACCCAAAAATAACTTTGAGCATGACATGAATGCATGCTCTATGCAACAATAGAACATACAAAAAATCTTTAGAAACAAGACTAGTAGAATAATTCTACTTTAAATTTCAATTTAACATTAATTTTGTACATGAGACATCCTCCAGAGCAAAGACATCAAATATGACCTACATAAAAGTTCATAAGCAAATGTATTTCATCAACACAGACAGCTTAAACTTACCACTTTCAGATATTATCCATTGTCCTCTCTCCAGGGCAACTTTACATCTGTTCACATGTACCTCAATACCATTTGTGCTTTCTTCCTTACCGATATAAACATCTTCATTTAACAGACGCTTCGTTAATGTTGTCTTGCCAGCACCTTTATGTCCAACAACTATTACACGAATGTTGTAAACATCTTCATAACCCTCATCCAATAATTTCATGTATAATTGTATAGAAGACTGATCCATTTTTTGGATTTCCATTGGTAGTGACATGCCTGTACAATAAATATTGATATCCTTACTATCTAAGAGGCAGGTAATTTAGTAAAGCAATTTAGTATTGCTCAACTCAATATTGAGGCTCTGAATTAATATAACTGTATTTTTAATGAATGAAAGGCAGATATAATGCAATGAACTTAAACTGATATCATAACATTCATATCTGAACCTGAAATAGTGCAACTGTTTATTAGATTTTTTTCATGTATGTTGTTTTATGTGCTGTGACTTTTCTTTTTTCCTCAGATTACCTTTATTCAAAACTGTAAAAGAAAATCTGGAAACAAAGTGATCCCTCGGAAGCATTAATCACAACAAAATAACAAGAGAATTGCAGACTCGGTTTGATTGAGTCTGTACATGAGGGATAATGAATACATGCAACATCCCTCACGCCCCTAGCACCGGCTGTAAATCATTCAAACAACCTTTCTGACCAATGTACATGATATTTTGACCAAAACAGTAGCCTTTAAAGTGTTAATGAGGTTTTTCAATACTTGGACCTTCTTTTTGACCCAAGATGACCCATATTCGAACTTGAGCTGGAAATCAAAATAGTACCCTCTAAAGAATTAAAGAAGTTAATTGAGCTGTGACCTAGTTTGAGGACATAAAGATGCCAAATTTAAAAGCTCTAAGCCAAAAATCTTCAGAAAAGAGATTTTTTAAGTTTTTACTATATGTACATAATGAAAATCAATCACCCCAGGGGCGGGGCCAATTTTGACCCATGGACTATTATTTGAAAATCTTGATAGAGGTCTAGTACACAATATTTCATGCCAAATATCTCACCTCTAGTCTTTGTAAATTCAAAAAGATGATTTTTAAGTTTTTGCTATATACATATAAGGAAAATCAATGACCCCCCCCCTTGCAAGGCCAATTTTGACCCCAGGGCCATGATTTGAACAAATTTTGTATAGTTTAGTTAGATGAAGCTATAAAGAAAATATCTAAGCTCTAGGCCTTGCACTTTCAAAGGAGAATATTTTTTAAAGTTTTAGAGTTTTTTTTAGAGTTTTTACTAAATAATGTACATAATGTCAATCAAAGTCCTGGGCATGGCCAATTTGGACCCAAAGACTATAATTAGACATTTGTGATTTAAGACGGTGACGGTAACAGATATCGGACTTCAGTCAAAAGAATGGGGTCATCTCACAATTGTGACCTGTGCATATCTTTGCAACACATGGTTAAACTTCTTAACGATGTCTGCATATCCTTCGAACTGACTTAATTTCAGCAATGGCATGCGCAACACATACACATTACTGTCAAATATAACAGTACAATCCGGTGTCCATTTGGATATATTTTGTGGCCCAGAAGAACACAGTTGTGTGGGAGAGGTAAATCAGTTCCAATGTGTCGCACCAAACAAAACAGCTGTGCATAAATGAGATATCAAATGAAATCACATTCATGCAGTATGTCTGAGTCTGTCGGCATTGTTATAGCTAAACAATAACCGGTTGAAATGGGTGATGCTCTCCGAATGGCTTTTGGACACAGAAACGTTTTACTCAAAGTTCAAAACTTAATAATTTTAAACTTAGGCATGACATAATAAGTGTTCTTTACACTGCTCACCTACCCAATGATAATTATCTTCCTACAAAGTTCATATCTCTTATAGTGTCAGAGTTATGTCCCGGACGAAGTTCAAAATGTAAATATGAACAAATGTTAATAATTCAAAACTTACGGTTCTTAAGCACTGCACATCTACCCGTTGAGATCTATATACCTGAAGTTTTATGATGATATCCCTTCTACTTTCAGAGTTATGTCCCGGACAAAGTTCAAAGTATCAAAAGAAACAAAGGGCAATAACTCAAAAATTAGACTAGGCAGAGTTATACATGTATCTATTACTAATGTTTCAACTTTTCTTAGTAACAAATATGTTGGAAAAGTTCAAGTTCTTTAAAAATGATCTCAGGAAACCGTTTGTAGGGACGGGTGGACAGACAGGCAGACTGATTGACAGCAGACAGAGGGCAAATATTTAAACATCACTAGTTATAACCAAAATATAAAATTTTGAAGGCAAAATTATTCAACTAAAAAGGTGATAACTCTTGTTACACAAGAACCGGTTAAACCGGGTGATGCTCCTCAAATAGGTTTTGGACACAGGAAATTATATCTCTTGTAGTGTCACAAAGTTCAAAAGAGTAACAAGAACTGTCGGAGGACAGCAACACTCGACTATTCGAAAAAGTTGTCACAATGGTGTTTCATTGAGTATAATAATGCTTACCTATATGAATACATAAAATTGTCCGAAAAGGTACAAAGGCTTCTTATTAAGATGTTTTATATAGTAAATCACTGCTTTATTATTATGAATGCATAAAATTGTCCGAAAAAAAGCACAAACCCTTCAGTAGTTATGGAGTTGGTATAGCTTACACACAAAAACTTAACCAATAATTTCTAAGTTGAAAAAAGGGAATAATTATGCAAAAAGCAAATCAGAGTAATAGGACTTCTGCTAATCATGTCAAATAATCAAAGAGAACAATTGTATGAAGTTTCAATCCAATCCCTTCAGCAGGTACAGAGATATTTCCTTAGACGCAAAAACTTAACCAAGAACTTCTAAGTCGAAAAAGGGGCATAATTATGCAAAAAAGCAAATCAGAGTTATTGAACTTGTGCCAATCATTTAACATAATCGCAGAGAACAAGTATGTGAAGTCAATCCATTCCCTCCAGTAGTTATGGAGATACTTGCTTACACGCAAAAATTTAACCACAGGGAGGCCGACGCCGATAAATGGGTATCTGAATTAGCTCGATTATTCTGCGAATAGTCCAGTTAAAATGAACAAAGGGAAATAACTCTAAAAACAGGCAAGGCAAAGATAAGCTTCTTTTTCACTGCACTTCGATTCAATGAGATCAATCTACCTACAAAGTTGCATGTTGATACCTCTTATGGTTTCAGAGTTATATCCTGGACAGAGTTCAAAGTGTAAAAATTGAACAAAGGGCAATTACTCCAAAATTAGGGAAGGCAAAGTTATGGTTATTTTGCACTGCACTTCTACCCAATACGATCTATGTACCTACAAAGTTTCATGTTTATATCTCTTATAGTTTAAGAGATATAGGGCAATGACTCCAAAATAGGACAAGATAGAGTTATGGTTTATTTGCAATGACTTCTACCCAATTGGATCTACCTCGGTTAAAGTTTCAAATTGGTATCTCTTATAGTTTTAGAGTAATGTCCCGGAAAAAGTTCAAAGTGTAAAAATGAAGAAAGAGCAATAAATCCAAATAAGGCAAAACAGAGTTATGGTTCTTCTGCACTGCACTTCTACTAAATGAGATCTATCTACCTACAAAGTTTCATGTTGATATATCATATAGTTTTAGATTTATGTCCTGGTAAAAGTTCAAAATAGCGGACAAACGGATGGACGGTCGTCAGTCTGAAATGAAATAAGGAGCCATTTCTTTTGTTATTTTCTATTACTTAAAAGAGAGCCAATGGCCCCTTTCTCTATTGTTACCAAATGAACTCTATTGTTCTCTTTTGTTCTGTTTACAGTTAAACGGCCCCCTATCCCTATTTGGTAGTGCAGACAGACGGACGGACAAAGCGTAGACTATATGCTCACCCTTCAGGAAGCATAATAAAAATAATAGACCTAGGAACATTGTCATACATGATGTGAATAATGAAAAAAATAAGTATCTTCAGTCTTAAGTAGAAACCATTTATAGTAACAAAGTAGAAAAGTGAAAAAACAACAATTGTCTTGTTTCTTTATTCAAAATTTCACCATTTTCATATTTAAATGTTCCTTTTTGCTAAAGCAGGTGCTTATATAATGGCGTGAACAGTCAGTTGAACCTTTCCATTACCATTCTCAAACAGGTTCAATCAAACTGAGTGTGCAACATTTTCAATTTTGTTGTTTTGAGCGTTCTTAAGGGATCTTGTCCTTCTCTTTTTTATTACCTCACTCTGGAATCCATTCCATGAACAAACCAGAACTGAGTAACGAGTGTATACATATAACGATTCTTGGTCAAGTAAACATTGAGTGGTCCCTGACAAGTTTGGAACTGATTAAAACATTTGTCTTTTAATAAATACATAATCAACAAGGGTGCCATAGTCACAAAATACGCCCGTTTATGAAAGCTTTAGATTGAGATGGGGGCATTATGGATAAGTGTTATCTAGCAAGCAAGTTTTTATCCTTGGCACTGTGTTGTTAAATGAACCTTAAAACAAATCAGTAGGGAAGATATGCACAGGATGTGTGACCTTGACCTTGGTCGCAGGGACCTGAATAATGCACGGCACTCAGCCTCACAATGATGAACGTTTGTGCCAAATTATATTGAAATCTCTCTATGCATGTAGAAGTTTTGCTCCAGACAAGCGTTTTGCAATGAGCTCTAACTGTGACCTTCACCTTTGACCTAGAGACTTGGTTCATGTGCAGGGCACTCATCTCATGGTGGTGAACAATTCTATAAAGTAACATTAAAATTCCTCCATGCATGTAGAAAATATGCTCCGGACAACATCTGGATATTTAATCATCTCCAGTGACCTTGACCTTGCAAATATTAACCTAAATAAAATGTGTCACACCTGTAGTCATGATAGTTACCATTTGTGCTACAATCCATCAATAAATGATGACTAAATGGTCCCTATACACATCTTCAAATTTTTATCTGACATTTGACCTCTATGTGTAACCTTGACTTTGGTCGCAGGGATCTGAATTTTGCGTGCAACACTCAGCCTCACAATGGTGAACATTTGTGCCAAGTTATATTGAAATCCCCCTATGAATGTAGAAGTTTTGCTCCGGACAAGCGTTTTTCAATGAGCTCTAAGTGTGACCTTGACCTTTGACCTGGAGACCTGGATCATGCATGGAGCAATACATATCATGGTGGTGAACATTTCCATAAAGTATTATAAAAATTCTTCCATACATGTAGGAGATATGCTCCAGACAAAATCTGGATATTTCACCATCTTTAGTGACCTTGACCTTGCATATATTGACCTAAAGTACATGTGTCATAGCCGTAGTCATGATAATGACCATTTGTGTTACAATCCCTCAATAAATGATGATTAAATCGTCCCTTTACACATCTTCATATTTTTATCTAAACTTTGACCTCTATGTGTGACCTTGACCTTGGCTGCAGGGACCTGATTTTTGTGCACAACACTCCGCCTCACAATGGTGAACATTTGTGCCAAGTTATATTGAAATCCCTCTATGCATGTGGAAGTTTTGCTCCGGACAAGCATTTTTCAATGAGCTCTAAGTGTGACCTTGACCTTTGACCTAGAGACCTAGTTCATGTGCCTGACATGGCTTCTCATAATGGTGAATATTTCTGTGAAATTTCATTAAAATCCCTCCATGCGTGTAGGAGATATGCTCCGGACAAAATCTGGTTATTTCATCATCTTTGGTGACCTTGACCTTGTATATATTGACCTAAATTATATGTATCACAGCCATAGTCTTGATAATGACCATTTGTGTTACAATCCCCCAATAAATGATGACTAAATGGTCCATATACACATCACCATATTTTTATCTGAACTTTGACCTCTATGTGTGACCTTGACCTTGGCCAAAAGGACCTGAATCTTGAGCGCGACACTCCGCCTCACAATGGTGAACATTTGTGTCAAGTAATATTGAAATCCCTCTATGAATGTAGAAGTTTTGCTCCGGACAAGCGTTTTTCAATGAGCTCTAAGTGTGACCTTGACCTTTGACCTGGTGACCTGGATCATGCATGGAGCAATACATATCATGGTGGTGAACATTTCCATAAAGTATTATAAAAATTCTTCCATACATGTAGGAGATATGCTCCAGACAAAATCTGGATATTTCACCATCTTTAGTGACCTTGACCTTGCATATATTGACCTAAAGTACATGTGTCATAGCCGTAGTCATGATAATGACCATTTGTGTTACAATCCCTCAATAAATGATGATTAAATCGTCCCTTTACACATCTTCATATTTTTATCTAAACTTTGACCTCTATGTGTGACCTTGACCTTGGCTGCAGGGACCTGATTTTTGTGCACAACACTCCGCCTCACAATGGTGAACATTTGTGCAAAGTTATATTGAAATCCCTCTATGCATGTGGAAGTTTTGCTCCGGACAAGCATTTTTCAATGAGATCTAAGTGTGACCTTGACCTTTGACCTAGAGACCTAGTTCATGTGCCTGACATGGCTTCTCATAATGTTGAATATTTCTATGAAATTTCATTAAAATCCCTCCATGCGTGTAGGAGATATGCTCCGGACAAAATCTGGTTATTTCATCATCTTTAGTGACCTTGACCTTGTATATATTGACCTAAATTATATGTATCACAGCCATAGTCTTGATAATGACCATTTGTGTTACAATCCCCCAATAAATGATGACTAAATGGTCCATATACACATCACCATATTTTATCTGAACTTTGACCTCTATGTGTGACCTTGACCTTGGCCAAAATGACCTGAATCTTGCGCGCGACACTCCGCCTCACAATGGTGAACATTTGTGTCAAGTAATATTGAAATCCCTCTATACATGTGGAAGTTTTACTCCGGACAAGCATTTTTCAATGAGCTCTAATGTGACCTTGACCTTTGACCTAGAGACCTGTTTCATGTGCGCGACACTGCTCCTCATAGTGGTGAACATTTCTATGAAATTTCATTAAAATCCCTCCATACATGTAGGAGATATGCTCCGGATAAAATCTGGATATTTCATCATCTTTAGTGACCTTGACCTTGTATTTATTGACCTTAATTATATGTATCACAGCCATAGTCTTGATAATGACCATTTGTGTTACAATCCCTCAATAAATGATGACTAAATGGTCCATATACACATCACCATATTTTTATCTGAACTTTGACCTCTATGTGTGACCTTGACCTTGGCCGCAAGGACCTGAATCTTGCGCGCGACACTCCGCCTCACAATGGTGAACATTTGTGCCAAGTAATATTGAAATCCCTCTATACATGTGGAAGTTTTGCTCCGGACAAGCATTTTTCAATGAGCTCTAAGTGTGACCTTGACCTTTGACCTAGAGACCTGGTTCATGTGCGCGACACTGCTCCTCATAGTGGTGAACATTTCTATGAAGTTTCATTACAATCCCTCCATACATGTAGGAAATATGCTCCGGACAAAATTGGACGCCGCCCGCCCGCCCGACCGCAATCCCGCCAGGGGCGTTCCCATAATACGTCCAGTTTTTCAAACGGGCGTATAATTATGTCATTTAATACCTGCTACTAATATCTCCAGAAAAGTCCTTTATATTTTTTACTACTTTTATTAAGAAGGCACAGATTTTTTTAAACTTTCTTTAATCAACTTACTGACCTACCCATGAAATGTTCCCTCATCAAAGCCATAGTGATGAATGGGGGCCATTATTTGAGTGAAGCCGGATGCTTAGCATATTTTATTTGGCATGTTATCCTAACTTCTACACTCCTGTATCGCTGTTCAAACAACCGTGAAACGCGCACCTGTTACCCGTATAAACACACACGTGAACCCCAATACAATCATAATTTACAGTATAAAAATATTAGTTGCCATACAAGACAACAAAACAAAAACGGGAGGGAAATTTCCAAAATCCATAAATAACGTCATCAAATATTTTGATGGGAACAAAATATGCCAAGCCTCTGGCTTCACTCAAATAATGACCCTAATCCATCACTAGAGCTTGGATGAGGAAACATTATTTTTCGTAAAGCCTTCGGCTTTCGCATATTTTATTTAGCATCTTTAAAAGGGTGGTAACAAATATTTGCATTGACCATATTAAAAAGACAATGTTATGAAAACAACAACTCAATATAACATTAGTTTTACCATTTTAATAACTGACCAAGACAAACAGTTTTTATGAGAAAACATCCCTCAAAAACAAAACAATAATTATCGTTTCATTTCAAACACATTTCAAACTAGAAGGTTTTTTGTCACATTAAAAACATATGTATCCCAATCTATGGATGGTCACTCATGTGCAGTTTCATTGAAATCCCACTAGTAGTTTGGCCCATGAAGGCCAGACAAGAGTTTTCTATTTTTTATTCAGCCGGCCATTTTGTGCCACGAACCGGAACATGTCGGTATTGTGGACAACTAGGGATGGTACTGATCACTCCTGTTGATTGAGATCCCACTAGTAGTTTGAAAGCAAAATATGAAATGTAGTGGGAGATAAAAAAATAAATGTAGTCATGTTTCAAAAACAACCCTCATAAACGAAATATCATCATTCTTAGCCACTGGTGTTTGATAAAATTTGAAAACATTTACATTTATATTCCAAACTGCAGTATTAAGAATATTCTTAATTGAACTCATCAAGGCTGAAGAAAATAATGCAGACTTGACGAATGAGCTATGAAAATGGACAAATCAATACCAGCAAACTTTAAAACATATCTTAGCTATCTAGCTAAAGTACTTGATGTTACAGCTTTAAAAGTGACATATGAAATAAATACATGTACTTGAGATGTTGCCTTAAACTCTTCGTTATTTCTATGTTATTCTTTATAGTATGAAAAACACACAATTTTTCATCAGAAGAATGTTCAAGCTTTAAAATTATAAGCACTATTTTTCCCACCTGATATGATTTCAAAAGTTTTGAAAAATACATTTTTGCAACAATGTCATACATCTTCAAATTTTTCAAATCCAAACAGATTAAAGTTTGTGCTCTTGGTGCGGTAGCTAAAGCTATTAACTTAAATGGTGACACTTTCAAAGTAAGAGTTTCCAAGGGAAACCATAAAGATAACACATTTAAAACCACTGTCACATCCAACGTAAACTTACATCTTGGTAAAGGTGGTTTCTTTACAAAAAAAATCCTTTCATGAAACGCGATATCAAAATTTGAGACGCACACCATTTATTACCTTAAAACAACAATGTTTGCAATAATATTGACTTATGAGTATAATAACTGAATATGTTTTTTTGTCCTTGAACAAGTAATATAATTAGGAAAAGGCCCTGTTTTGATTTTGGGTCACAAGGTCACTATAACCTTAAAACTGAAAACAGTTTCCTCAGCATAACTTAAGTTCCATTTGGCCCAAAACATTCAAATTTTATCGGATAATTGTCCATTTTGGGTAGAAGACCCCTATTGTTTTTGGGGTCACAAGGTCAAAGGTCAAGGTCACTATTACAGTGTAACTTCTGAAAACCGAACACCCATGGGACTTGTTAAAAAGTTCGGATTTCAGAGGTTTCCGGAATTCAGAGGTTTATGATAATGTGGACAAGACTCAGCCACTTTATATCACTAAATGTCAAGGAAGATGTGGCCATTACTGTAATATCATATATAATTGTCTTTTAATCAAGATAAAGATGTGAATGAAAAGAATAACTTTTTTATCTTAACTGCAAATGCTTTTGAATTTCTATCAGTTTGTAGAAATGTTGTTAATTGCATAAACTTACATATTGTCCGATGCTAGTTAATTAATTATTACATCAAATGCAATAAAATCCCTAAAGACGTTTAATGCATACATTGTTCCAATTAATTGTCATTTAATCCGCTAATAAACACTTCAAATTAACTGACCGCCGTAAATTACTTTGATTAACCGCATCACTTCAAACATTCCATTTCACAGTTTGTGATTTTAACGCGTGTCAAATTACACGATCACCGCTAATTAGTAAACAATCGATAGGGAGATTAAATCTTCCTGCAGGGTAAACATTCTCGATTTACAATGTATTTCACACATTTGGATATTTCCGGTTTTCGGAGGTAAAATTGCATTGATTTGACTCTAATTTTACAAAAATATCGTCCGGAATTCAGAATTTAGAAGTTCCGGAATTCAGAAGTATTATATTAATAGAAAATAGAAGGGAAAAAATCGGGACCAAAAAAATGGTTCGGTTTTTAGAAGTTTCCGGATTTCAGAAGTTCCGGAATTCGGAAGTTACACTGTACCTTAAAACTGAAAACAGTTTCCGGAGCATAACTTAAGTTCCATTTGGCCTACAATATTCAAACTTCATAGGATGATTGTCCATATTAGATAGAAGACCCCTATTGATTTTGGGATCACAAGGTCAAGTTCACTATTACCTTAAAACTGAAAACAGTTTTCGGAGCATAACTTAAGTTTCATTAGGCCCACAATATGTTTGAAAACTTCATAGGATAGTTGTGCATATTTGGTAGAAGACCCCTATTCATTTTGGGGTCACAATGTCAAACGTCAAGGTCACTATTACATTAAAACTGAAAACAGTTTCCAGAGCATTACTTAAGTTCTATCCGGCTCACAATATTCAAACTTCATAGGATGATTGTCCATATTGGGTAGAAGTCCCCTATAAATTTCGGGGTCATAAGGTCAAAGGTCAGGGTCACGATGATCTTTACACTGAAAAATGTGGTTTCTGGAGCATAACTTAAGTTTCATTTGGCCCACAGTGTTTAAACTTCATTAGGTGATTGTCAATATTGAGTAGAATACCCCTATTAATTAAGGTCAATGTCAAGGTTACTTTAACCTTTAAACAGAAAACGGTTTTCGCTCAATAACTTAAGTATTAATCAACCTACAATTGTAAATTTTATAGGATGAACAGCCATGTCCAATATATGACCCCTATTGATTCTAGGCTCAATATCAAAGGTCAGGGTCACAATGACCTTAACACTGAAAATTGTGCGCTTTCTAGAGCATAACACAAGTTCCATTTGGCTTACAGTGTTCAACTTCAAAAGATGATTGCCTTTATTGAATAAAAGATCAATATCTATATTGGGATCATAAGGTCAAAGGTAAATATCAAATAACCTTAATATTGTTAACAGTTTTACAACTGTTAAACTTCAAAGGATGATCTCTTATATTGAGTACATTTATTATATGTCCTAAAAAATTCGCTTATTTCTGGCGTCTTTCTGTCCATCCATCGTAGTAAAATTATTTAATTCCCATGTCTTACAAATGCTTCATCCTTTCAAAAAAATACGTTCGGGCATATAATGCTCCGCCTAGTGGTGCTCTTGTTTCATTGGTAGTTAGAAAATTAGAACTGCACTGACCACACCCTGCCCAGCTTCATTGCATTATGACAGTTATACGGTCAGTGAAATATAAGGTTATCATCCAATTAAACATAATATTACATATATAGTCTTATGTTTATTTATTAATGTTACCAATGTCCAGTTAATCTGATACAATTTAAGGCCTAATTTGAGGAAAACCGGGAGTACAAGGATTACATATATGTACGTAATTTTGACATCAAGGAGGGCAGTGACACTTTTAAAAAGGTGTTATGTTTGATAAGTCAAAGGTAGCGGTTATTATTTTAAAATATCTATTCATGTTGGAGTAAAGCGATATTTTAATGTTGGACATAAACATATAAGTAGTGTTTATTTTTCCTTAAATTAACTTACTTTATAAGTTGAACACCACACATTAGGTCTAGGATCGTCGAGTTCATAGTCGTTTTTGGAGGTAAAAAGTGATTTGTCGGTGGCTGTTGTTCAAACATATTATGCTGAACTACAAATGGATCGCCATCAACAATTTTTTATACAGTTTATACACAATATATACGTAAACTGAAATCATATTACGAGAAACACAGCTAAATATGTTATCATGAACTATCAATAATTTACATAGGGATTTATCTACGTCACTTCTGGTATGAGATCGCACCTGCATAATTGTTAGCAATTCTTACATCTGTGTGATAGCTGACTTTGAAAGGGAAATACTAAGACAACAAGAATTTGTAACACAGTTAGTTACGTCCCCCGCCACGGGGAAGTTTTATATGAAGCATAAAACGGTGTTATTTCAAAAGATTGAGGTCTTGCTCTCAGGACTTTCTATCCAAAATTATGATCAATGCTAGATCTGCAAATGCAATAATAATTTTTTTAAAGAAATAAAATGAAACATGGAATCTAAAAATCTATCTTGTTAAGATTTGACCTCATAGTGTGACCTCGACCTTGGAGGTAGGGGTGCAGGTGTTGTGCATGACATACCATCTTATTATTGTCACTATTTGTGCCAAGTATTTTGAAAATCCCTTGAACTATGAAGAAGTTATAGATCGGACACAAAATATACCCTATAACAGATCTTAATCTTTGACCTCTAAGTGTGA